CCCTTTTATACTTTTAATTTATTTAGACTATATTACACCTTAAAGCATTTAGACTATATTCCTAAACACTTTCTATCGAGTAAGCCTCATTCAATGCAATGGGTCTTACTATAAATATACCTTAGGATTGCTCTGTAAGCAGCTTGCCCACATTAGTCATAATCAGAGTGATTAAGCAGTGGCAAAAAATAGTGTGGGGATTTTGTACGGGAAGAAATTTTTAAATGAAGAAGTCAAGAGAATATTCCTGGCTGTAATAGAAGCTCTGAATACACAAGTTGCACATATCAGTAAATATGGATTAGTTACTGTATTGCTCCAGTATGCGATATCTTAAATGTGCAGAATAAGTGGGCTCACGGGACAGACATATAACAAGCTTTGCAGAACCCCCTTACAAGCCTAGGATGGACTCACAAAAATGGATTCACAACATAAGGCTGCCTTTTATAACACTTACCTAGGCTGAGCAAAGTGGGCTATCACAGCAGTGCTCCATCCAGCAAATGCCAGTCTAATGCCACAGACTAAATGTTGTTCCCAGCTGTTATATTCCTTCTGTTCCATTGATAGCTCCCTGTGGATGGTATAATTCCATTCCACCTAGAGCAGAAATGAAAATCTATTTCTTATTTCATTATCTGTTCACTACACTAAAGCAGATAGTAACCCTGTCACTGCTGACAGGAAGCACACAGTACGGCCATCCCAGCTGCCTGTTGTTAATGCCTCTGTTTACTGCCTTGCTCTGCTTTAATTGGCCACTCTGGCCCCACAAGCGAATTAATACAAATCACTAGATTGGGTTTTCGTCTTCATTTGAGTCCTAAGATGCAGAAGGGTAGAAAAGCCTGGCCTATGAGCATGGCATAACTCTTAATGCATGGCAGGTCTGGCTTGCTCCCTGTTTGGTCAAATATCCTTTGTGGGGATGAAGAAACCAGCAAGTCACCCTTCTAGATTAAGAGCATGAACCTGTGAGAGCAGAGACCCTTTACCTGCATACCTAAGACCAAGCCCAAATGGGCGCATTCTGTGGCAGGAATATTCTGGAGTGGTGCTTCATTTTATTGACATACACTCTTTACACACAACTTCCCTCAAGGAGGCATATTTGTATGAAGCATATCAGGAAAACCCAGCTTTTATTGTGCTCTGCTTTTGAGAGAGGAAGTGATACTGCTCTCACAAAAGTACAGAGGGACACTAGGAAATGGCAAAATGAATCCACCGCTGGTCACTTTTAAGGCTGCCAAGCAGCAAAACCAAATAATTGGATTACCTCTGTTAGGAACTGAACAGCTAGGACAATTTGTGCCACGCTCCCCACGCCTAACTCCCAACAGTGGCTGGGCTGGGATGATCATGGGGGAAAGAGTCATGGTCATGCACTGTGCAGCTGGCCTAGTCAGCCTCACAGCTTGTGGGTTGCCATGTTGTCTGAACCCTGTGAGGTGTGTGGAGCAAGTCCTCTCAGACTTACGCTCCCAATCCCCCCAGAATCCATGGCTTACTGTTCCAGTTGCACCCCCACCAAATTCCATTCTGTATCCATCCCTGGTCACTGAACAGCCAGCCCACCGGATCTGCCTTGACCCACTTCCAGGCCTGCGAGGAGGACCAGCATGTTTTGAAGGCACATTTGAGGCAGTGTGGTGTACTGGTTAAAGTGTCAGACTGGGACTATGGAGATCTGGGTTCTAATCCCCACTCAGTCATGAAGCTCACTGAGTGACTTTGGACCAAGCACTGATCCTCAGTCTAACCTACCTGACAGGGTTGTTGTTAGAGGGATAAATGGAGAGGAAGCAAATTTTGTAAGCCACCTTACAAAAGGGGGAAAGCATATATAGTATAGTACTAATAATCTTTTTGGCAATTCATAAATGGGCACCCTACCATCACAGTTCATATTCTTATACCTGATGGTGGCACCCCCCCCCCCAAACTATTCTTCAAAACCTGCCACTACCACTCAGAGTAGTTAATATTGGACTTGATGAGTAAATGGGTTGATTCAGAATACCTGTATACAAGCCCTTACTCCATGAGTTGCTCTGAAAATTATTACTGCTGGCAGTGTTTATCCCCACACCATGAAAAACTTCAGCTGCTGCTGATTTCTGAAAATCAAGCATCTATTAAAGGCACACTCATCCCTTCCAATGGGTTGCCCTGGGCACTGTGAAGGGACTCTCAGTGACTGTCAGAATGGAGGTTAACATGACCAAAAAACCAAACAAAACCCTCAGCAAGCAAAATTGGCTCCCAGTTGCAGTGGAGGGGCATCCAACCAATGCCAGTTGCCCTCAAGAGTTGCTTGGTCATTTGTAGGGCAACTGACACTGGTGGGTGCCCAGGCAATCGTGGCACAGGTGGCTTGCCACTTTTGACAAGCAAGCTGTTGGGTGGCTCTTGGCACCCACAATGAGGCTGGTTGCCTGGGTTCAGATGATATGACCCCATTGTGGGTACAACAGTCCTCCCCCCCCCCCCGATAGATCATCAGCATAGAAAAAAGGCAGAAACAGTTGTGAAAAAGCACAGCTGGCTTATGAGAGAAAGACATCATTGTTTGACCAGGGACATTGTCAGAAGGCAGATGTGCAAATATGCTGGACTTCAACTCCTAGGCATGCCTGTCAGGATGACCAATGGTCAAGAATGCTGGCTTGACCATAAGCAGTGGCTTCCCCATGTGCTCAGCTGCAGACATTTCAATGCATCCATTGCTCTAGGGAGAGCTGTCCACCCAAATATTCACATATCAGAACTGGATAGGTGAGATTGTGTCAAGAACAGTGAGGAACAGAAGACCGCAACTCACCTTGGTCAGTGTGGATATGAAGTCTGCTATGCATGGCTTTTGCCTCAGGGCTGGAGGCAGCATAACAGGCTCTTCAGTTCTAAAGGGCAAACAGTACTGGGCAGGAACATGGGCAGAACACCAATGACAAACTGGTGCAGCAGAGACACATGTTCTGTGTGCAAATAAGATCTTTGGAATCATGCAAATGAGCTCTTCAAAGCCCAGCCTCTCTTTTAGAGTTCTTAAAGAGACACTCATAGGGGGACAGGGACTATCCTTTTTTGTTTTGCTGTATATATGTCAGTAGACCTCAGAAATGCAGGCACTAACCCCCTCCCCCTGCACCACTCGAATGCCCTTATTGGAAAGTCCAGAGGATGCTAGAACTCAGCAATGGACTCTGGGTGTGCCACTGCTTGTTCTATCTGCCTGAGGGCAAAGGTGGTGAGAGAAACAAGGACAGGCCTATTTGGGCTGGTAGCTGTGACGTTCAAGAAGAAACCATCTGGATCTGGTACTGGAGTATCACGAAGTGACTCAGACCAGGAAGCAAAGTCCAGTAATTGTGCTACAAAGATCTGTGATGGGAAGCTACAACATAGGGAAATTCTACTGAGTTACATTTCATGCAAGCACTTAAGAGCGTCATTTGTGCCTGCTTGTGCTCTCCCACCCCCAAGGCTGAGAATAATTAGGGGGCTTTTTCTTTCTCCAAGGCAAACCAAAAAGTTACTTCATGGAAGCTGTTCATAGATCAAGTGCAAGCTGCTGTGTGCAGAAACTTAGGTGATTTGGCAAATGGTTCCCACAAATTATGGCTACCCCGAGAAGGCATCACTAACCACGGCCCTAACTTTTGAAGCAGCCAGGAGAACCTGACACTGGATAGGGATGGAGGCTGATTGCACTCTCTGCCCACAAACAACACAATTATCTTCAAGGCTATTTAAATTACAGAACTGAAGCCCATGTCCTTGTGAGAAGCCCCTGGACTTTGGCTGGAAGCCTTTCAGCATAGGTGGACTAACTAGCTCAGAACAGGTTCCCTCTGCTACCCTCAAATAGCTTGACAGTTTTTGAGGCAGGTCAGCTTTGTATCTAGGTAGGTACAGTATCTCATTTAGATAAAGACAGGTGCAGATCTCTGCCCAGCTACTCAGCTGACCAGATGGCCATGGGCAATTCAGAAACTCCCCATATGATCTAGTTCACAGGTTGTTGTGAGGCTAAAATGTTTCACCAAACGCACAACTACATCTTTATGAGAAATGTGGGGCTGCCATCAGTAGTGACAACTCGGGTCAACTTCTTCTCTCATAGTAAGTAGTAAAATATACTCATGACCTTATATGAGCTTTTTCCTGCCTCTGCCAGTCAGTGATGAAGAGCAGGGTTACACAAAGCACAATGCAAAAATGACACTGGACAAGTTTTATAATATTGGATGGAGCAGAAGTCCACATAGGGCCAACACATTCAAGCACTCAGTATCCTTACAGCAACAGCCTTGCTGGGTAATGTTCTCTGTGATTAAATCCAGTGAAGCATTAAATCGCAAATGCAGAAAAAGTAATATAGCAGGACCCTCATATCCGTGGGGTTAGTTTCTAAGTCCCCTAGCAGATGCCTAAAACTGTGGATAGTAGTGAACACTACATGAGCAGGGGTTAGGGGGACAGAACCCCCACAAAAGTGGAAAAACTGTGCATATCTCTGGAATCATTGCACCCCAAGAGACAAAACGCATGAGTGAGGCCGACTTGTACTGAGACAAAGAGCATAGTATTCCCAGAGCCCATAGTTTCCTAGAGATGTTGGCAATTTCCCCTTAGAGATATTAACATTTTTTCACTAGATATATTCACATTTTTTCCACTTCTGCAGGGATTCTGCACCCCCAATCCCACAAATGTGGGGGGCCAACAGTCAACTGCAGTTAAGTCAAACCGTGGTACCTGAGACAATGGATGAGGGTCCTGCTGTGCTTTTTTAATTCACTTTAATTGTAAAGATGCAGTTTCTACACCTGTCCCCTGGAAGAACACAAACAGTTTCTTTGTGCAATTAATAACCAGTTAATTGGCTAACTAGCTCAGCCATAGTTGTAGCAGAAGTCAGTGGAAGACCCAGAAACAGATCTTCCTGCCCCACTGAATACCTGCCCACCCAAATATGCAGACACAAAGCCAGAAAGAGTTGATGCTATCTTTATTTCATAGTCTCCGCAAATCAAAAGACAGCTTGCATTCAAAAGAACTGTTTCACATCCATAATATATTAATAGTTCTTCAAAATACATACCTATTTTAAAATTACAATTTCTTTACATCACTGCAGTTTAAATAGCAAACCTAGAAAAAACATCAGTGCACAAAATAAGAGGATTGTGCACAAGAAAAAACATCATAGGGTCAGCTAAAAAGCATTTCGGAAATTAAACTAAGGACCACAGATTTAGGCTGCACTGCTCAGGGCAAAATGTGATTAGTACAGGATGTTTTTTAAGCTCCTGCAAGAAAGGGATCTGTAAAACAGTGCATGCATTGAATCTGCATCCTATAAAAAGTGAAGGTCTTTACCACTTTGGTCTTTACCTCGTTCCAAAATCAATTTTGCAAAGTGACTGCTACTGAAATCAAGGCAAATAGGGACATTTTAAAAGCAAAGAAGTTTGCACTTTCACCTCCTGGAAACTCACATGGTCAGTATTCTGCAAGGTCAAAATGAAACAGTCTGGGATTCAAAAGTCTGGGAAGCAAAAATCAGACATTGAGGAGACATGCAGCTAAACCATCTCTGTCATGCACTGGACAACAGTTACTATGTTCGGATTTCCTTGGGATGTTTCTGCAGCAACAACAGGAAACATTTGGGACGCAGTGCTGATTGAAAAAGCTGCAAATGTGCACAAGGCTGAAATTAACTAGTACTGCCTCAAAACACCACTGCATACCCAAGATCAAAGTAACTGAAAGGAGGTCCAGACTTTCAGCATGGGTTCATTAAGCAAGCATTTCAGAGCGCCACAGCGTGAAGTGTTTGTATGACTGCAATTTACAGAAAAGCATGGGAGATTTTATACAGTTCAGATTTTCATTTTATTCCTGCAAGCCAGAGACAATGCTAATGAAATAAGAGTGCATTTCCAGTTATCCAAACATGCTGGAACAGTTGCGTCTGTATAAACTGATTTTCAGGCATACAGGTAAATGTTTCTGAGGTCTTTGGGAGCCACATATACCCCAGTACTATTGGTATATAAAACCAGTTCTGAGTATTCTCCCACATTTTTCTTTTCACATATTTTGGTTCAGAAAAACAAAGACATTATTTGTGGCTCTGGTATAGATGGAATTTCACTGGTATTAAAGCATTCACCAAGAATGAATACAAGATGCAGAAAACCCAAAAAGAATTTTGCTCTTTGCACACTCTCGCTGTACGTCAGTATAAAATAATCACCAGCCTGGGAAATAACTGGAGAGAGTGATGTATGTCTGAACACATTTAGGTAAGGGGGAAAGCACTTCAACTGTGCTAGGGATAAATTTCAAATAATAAATTAAACACCCCAAACCAAATAAATACATAAATAGGTCAGTGTGAGCTGTCTTCTTCCTTAGAAACACTTTCAGCTGCTAGGATGGAATTTAGACAACGGATCAAGCATCTGGTCATCAAGTCAATTTCCCTGTTAACTTTAGAGGCAAGATGATTCACTTGCAGAATCACGCATCCTTCATTTTGTTTTAAGAAAAAAAAAAGATAACCAAGAAGCATAAGTGAATAGATAGGAATGTTCAAAATTAACTAATGATGCACACATGCAACCCACACATGCTTGTGTGGAAGAAATGGCAGAAAATTCCAGAGTCTAAATAGAGCCAAATGTCTAAGCATGTGCCAATTATGTCATCTTGTCAAAATATTAGTGCATTTTCTTAGTCACAACATGGCAGGGTTCATGCAACGAAGAACCGAAGAATGGAAAACAGTTGATTTTCTTCTGAAGCTTAAATGAGAGCTGGCCAACACATCAAAATGTCAACACCTTCCACATTTTATAGTTGTTGATAAGCTTCAGTTAAAATAGTCTTTGCTCAGCTAACAATGTTCTCCTGGAAAATTGAAAGATGGAATGGGAGAAGAAGAACAAAGCCTTTTTTATTAATATCATTGGCATGAAGAAAGAATCATACAGTATATATTCTTAGGGTGCATGTATGCGTGACAATCCAGGAAAAGGTTAGAATCTCTTTCCTAATGGCACACAGCTACCACTGCTGTTCATGGGACTTGCGTGCACTGGAGGGAGACTAGTCGGTCCTTATTACTGTCATACCCCTACTGAACATTGAGCCAAATAGAAATGAGGAAGCACTGCGCAGTGGCTGCTTATTGGGTTTTCTTGTCCTCTGGAGGAAAGTATGGAGGAGGAGGAGGCTGGTCCTAAAATGAGAGAGAGAGAGAGAGAGCAAGAAGTTTAAATTCCTGACCACATAAACAAATTCAACTTGAGGAACAACCAATGTGCTGATTAAGATGCACTCCAATAGGTCAATGAATATTATTCATGAACTCCAAAAGAGTCGTTCTTAAAACTGTCTGTGTTGCTCTATACCTCATTCCAAAGCCTTCCTTGTCTGGCAAACAATGCATGACAAATTACATGAATTTGTGCACCATTGCAGTTCTGACTATGTGCTCTAATTGTTATGCATCTTTGTTATGCATCTTAGAACATTAAAGTCATGCACTGCCAGCATGGTGCAGAGGTTAGAGTATCAAATTAGGACTGGGGAGGCATGAGTTCAGATCCTTCACTCAGCCACCAAGCTTACTGGGTGTCCGTGTGACACAACTGCAAAATAATGGAATAAGTAATTTCTCCAAGACTTGCTTCTTCCCTACGGAGCCCGGTCATTCCAACTGGTTATTAAGCCTGACAATGGAAGTCAAAACTTTATCCTAACATGATTCCTCTGGGCACTCTTTTTGTTAAGTCACTACCTGTAAAATACTGATGACCTACCTCATAATATCAATGCTATGAACTCTGCAAAGTGCTTTTTGCATCAGATCTACTATTCGAATTAATGTTATGATAATAAAGCATGTTCTAGAATATACAGCTTCTTGGAGTCCCCTACATTATGAAACAAATCTTGCTGTTATTTCCACCAGATATATCATCTGCTTTCATGCAACACGCACCATCAAGCCCTTGCTCTCTTCTGCTCCCTGATTGCTGCACCCACAGTAATCTGGCTTATTTGCCAGCAATATTCTTCTAGTATGAAGAATCATTTGAAATGCACGGATATGTGGGATAGTTGAAGGCAAATGAAAGAATATACCCCTTATCCCCCCTCACTTCTAAGACACCAGTGAGGTATACAACAAAGAAAGCACAGGCACAGTCTGAAGGTGCATGATGAAATCAACTTGTTCAAGCGAAGCACGACTGGGGCTGCTCATTTGCTGGGCGGAAGACCACCCTGGAGTCCCATGTAATGCTACTTTCCATTCCATGATTAAAAAAAAGACTGTAAATATACTGAGTAAGTAATGTGAAAAGCCTACCATCGGCATGTAGACGTTATGAGGGTTGCCTGGGTTATAATAAGCACTTGCAGCAGCTTCTGCAGCCTTGGCTTCAGCTGTGGGGAGAACAATTTATGGATTAACTGGCAGCTATTTTTTGGAACTGTGGCTTATTCAGCATGATAGAGTCAAAGAAAGAATGGGGGGCAGGGAAGCACCAGTCTTCAGACTTAAACTATGCATTGGCTTGGATGCAATACACTAGGAACAAGCATTGGCCCAGAATACACCACCTCACACATCAGCATCTGTGCCTTGGTACTGGTCCCTGTAAAACATTTTCCCATTATGTCTGAAACTGAACACTGTAATGTAATATTGGTTGACGAACCAGGACCCCAAGACTGATCCGGGTTAGTAAACCAGCATTAAACCATAGTAATGTTATAACACTATTTGAATCAAACACTTTGAATTGTGTTTTCTAGTTGCCTCTGACAAACACTATGCTGTACTTGAAATGTATTCAGTGTGACAATAATTTGAAATTTTCTACAATAAAACCACTTTCTCTAATGCTTGTTACGAGAGTCCCTGTTGTTGTTTGGACAAACTACATAAATTCTACAGTAGGAGAACAGAAGATTGTCCTCAGTTCCCTGCAATTGCCCCAAAAACAGTGCTGCCCCTTCTCCTTCAGTCACTCTAATTCCATGGTGTTCTCTCAAGTTTCTTGTCGGCACTGGGGCTAGCACAAAAGCAACGCCTGCTCCTCCACAGTGGTTACCCTAAGGCACTAATAATAGGCCTCCAACGTCTTACTCTAGTGACCAATCATCATCTTACATGCAGTGTTCACAACCTGATTCAAATTCCTTCCCAAGTGCATTCAACATCAAGGATCTGCGCAAAGAGATATACTGCAGATTCTGCCCCATGATGAACACCTGACTGGCTAGTTGGAAAGCGCTCTGTTTCCTCCTGCCTCCAGGAACAAGCTCAGGACCATCCTGTAGATTATTTTCACAACAAAATATGCAGTACCAAATTCAGACCCACTAAAGGGAACAAATGCAGGATTTGTGATCATAAAGAGCAGCTGTTCTGCTATAAGGGCTAAACTAGACATCTCAGCAGATCCACACTTGGAAAGCTGGGTCATCAAACGAATGCCGAGCAGCAGGAGGGTGCAACTTGAAGGCAAGCAGCAACAGCCGCAGGCACAATGCTTCAGTCTTCCTTGACAACTGTTTCCCCAGCCTGGGGTTCTCAAAGTGTTTGCAACATGTCAGTGGGTAGAAGTGATCCAGAAGGGGAGAGATTAAAAAGAAGAGAGTGGGTGGGAGAAAGGTTTACCACCTGCCTCCCACCAGTCACTTGTCTGTTATGAACGGTGCTCTCTGCCACTGTGCAATTGCTCACTGGTAACACAGGTCTACTTAAAAGCATCGAGGGCAACCCTCAAGATTGCCTGTAAAACTACCAGTTTTGTAGTTATTGCCTAATATTTAATGATGCCAACTAAATGAAGTTCATGTTGCTAATCTATCCATGTTAGGTTGAACAAACTGTTGTGGAATACTTAATCCTTGTTCATATATTGAAGGAATATGATGATTTGCTGAAGACATGCAGTGCAAAAAAATACTAGCTGCTTAATGTATTAATCACACGAGCAAAGAGGCAGTGAGGAACAAATAATCCCGTGATAAATAGACTATATCTGTTCTGGAGCCAAAAGGAGGTTTAATAAGAAATTTCAACTGTACCACTTTTAGAAATTTGCCTTCTGGATTAAAATTGCATCTCTATATTATGGCTTTCCAAAAAACAAGCCCCCTTCACAAAAGGTTTTTCAGGAAAAGCTAAACAAGTTTTAGCTGCTTAAGGTCTGCTTGAAGTCCAGTGCAAAAGTAAGCAAAAATAGACTGGGACCTACAGGCATTTGCCTGTGTGATTTTCAGTAGAATACCAGGACTTTCTGACTTCCAGTTCCTTAACAATAATAATTCTCCCTCCAATAAATTAGGCTGCTGAGACAAGTAAAAATCTTATGGGGAGGGGAAGCAGGAATATTTTTTGTGTGACAGACCTGTCAGCTCCGGAGCTGAGATGCACTGTTCCTTAATTCTACAAGTATGCCATCCCTTTTTCTTAGCCACTATTCTGCATTGGCTCCAGCTGGTGGATTCTGGGGGCTATGGGTTGTGGGAAAACAAACAGTGTGTTCACTACAAGCCTGAGGTCTACCCACCCATGGTCTTATAAATCTTACTGAATCTAGAACAGCTTGAAGGAATTGCACAGTTCTACATTTCAGAGGATTTGTAATCTGGCTCTCTGGGCACATCACTTACCTGCTGGAGTGGAAGGAAGGTCTGGGCCAGCAGCAGGTGGCTCCATGGGCCCAGGATAGGGAGGTGGAGGAAGCTGCATGTATCCCATATCCCCAGCCATTGGGGGACCAGGGTACATTTCCGCTATAATAAAAATGACAGAATAAAATATTGCAGAAACAGCTAATTGAGTCAGGCCTCTACAGTGTATTGCTAAAGATATCTAACCTCAAAGTGACATGGTAATTGCTTAAAATATATTTTATTCACAACAATACAACTTTGAGAGAATATTCTAAACCAAACCCTGGCATAAGGTACAGTATTAACTGTTTCCTGGGCCTGCCTGGCAATTGCGACAGGTATCATATGCAGACCTATTTCATACCATGCTAAGTAGCTCGTGCCATCCAGAGTAGCTCCCAAAGTAGCTCCCACCTGAGAACACTGGTCATACTGAAGAGGCTGAGCTATCACCTGTAAGTTATTCTGTAGGAACTCAGTTCTTTTCGCGGTCCAGGTTGATATTTAAATAAATATATTTAAAATAGATAGATATTTAACATAAAACTGGTCGATATTTTTCAAGCTTACCAGGAGGTGGTGGTGGGTAAGGGTACCCCGAGGGAGGAGAAGGGTACATCCCATTAGCAGCAAGCGGTGGAAAGGCATAGCCTCCATTTGGCATGTATGAATAACCATAAGCTCCGTTGGGGACCTCCCCTCTTGAAGCTGCAAAACAAAAGCAGACACATTCTATCAAGCCTACAAGGTTTGTTTCAAGAAGCCACAAGCTAGCAACTTTGCCAAACCTGAAACTCCTTGGCAAGCAAATCTGCGACTGACAAGATGAATAGCTGCAGGGTTTACTGTATCTTGTAACACCATCATGCAGCATTAATTAGTTCAGAATGCTTCCTGGATGATGCTCAGAGTTGGCATTAGGATTTGCAGGGCCTCATACAGCGGGAAAGGAAGGTTTCAGCAGTGTAATGTGCCTGGACAGCTGCCTAGTGCCCCTTCAACTTTGTGGCTGGCAATGGAGTTGGAACTGAGAGGAGGAGAGAGAGCAAATAGAACCGGGGAAGATGCTGTGGGGAACTGCATCCCAAGACTATCAGTGATTTGGCTACCTGGGAGAGGTCAGAGGCAGCAGGAGAGGCTGGCTGAGGTAATGTGGCCAGCTGGTAGGACTGGTGAAAAGGACAGCTGTCATACATATTAGGGAGATGGAAGGACAATCATTAACAAACAATGGGTCATTAATAGCAAATACAGGAAGTATTGGGCCAGGGCTGAATAAGCCAGTTGTGCCTAATGGCTACACATAACCTTGAGCAGTGAAATATCAACAGAAACACTTAATCTGCAATTAATCTGTAGTGTAGCTTAGTAATTTCACTGTGATTGTCACTTCCCTTGTTCTCATTTATTATGTGTGTCTATTGCCTGGGCGCTAAAGCTCTCTGAGCAGCTTGAAGGAGCTACAAGAGATGCTAGCCTCAAAAAGTGGTATTAATTTGAAGGAACTTATACAATCAAACCAAGTGTGACTGAAATTAATTTTAACTACGGCCATTTAAAATTCTCAAGTATATTAAGTCATCAAAATATGTATCTGAGTCTGAAATGTATATCCTTTTCTTCAGCAAAGTCCATCCAGACACCTTGTTTGTTTTTCAGTTAAACTGGCTCCTGTATCATAAATTGTCAGTACCTTGAGATGCAACTTGCAGCATACGTTGTCCAAATTCTATAGCACCTCCAGCTGAAAATGTCATTTTGAATGTTACTGATCCTTCCCAACCACCTAGAAAAAAAGATAACACTGACTGAAAATGTGGCACAAGCTTTTCTGTTGACAGGCTGGCCTAAAAGGGTATTGCTAAGATCCAGAGAACCATCTCCCATTTCCACAAACAGTATTGTAATGTTGTTACCATCGTATGCACAAGTACTTTGGAAAGCAAAGAATACCTTCTCTGCTCCAACCACCAGAACCTGAATGACATCCTTTAGAGTGTGGGGAGTCAGCATGGGGTCTGCAAATAAATGTCTGCCTAGACTTCTCCCTTGGTATCCACCCAGATACCCTACTCCATTTATATTAAAAATGCATATTTTATATTTTCTTACAACTGGTTTCCTTCAAACTAAACTAGGAGTCTTTTAGCTGCTGCCATTTCCCATGAATGCCTCTGGGCAGGTTATCTGTCCTTTGCAACTACTGTCCTCATCATTCTATGGTTGTCCCCAGGACAGTTTCATGAATTTCCACAGGCCCAAAAAGTTCCTTTGTCCTGCTTCATAGTGTTTAAAGATTCACAAAAGGACAGCAAAATTCTGTCTGCCAACCTCTGGCATACTAAATTATCAAAATTAGATTTGTTCTGACTCTGCAAGGGCAAATTTGATTTGCTTGTAAGCCTCCACAACTATCTCTGAAAGTTAGCCATAGATCAGCCAAGAATGACAGTCTGGTAACACTAAATGGGAAATATGACTGCGTTATAGATCAAGGAACATGACACAGCTTAGAAAAACAGAATGGTCAGTGCAAACAGGACTTGTGAAGTTCAAGACATGCTCCCAACTGTGACTCTGATGAAAAAAAAATCTGCAGCTACAGAACTGCACATTAAACCTGGGCAGTCTAAAAATGAAATAATAATAACCAAACTATTCTGGGGGGAATTCGAGTTAATTATTTTAATATTGCCTTCAAAGGCACATAAGCTTCTCAGTGTTGGTCCTGCTCCATTTGATCCTTCTGACATAGCAGAGCTAGACAAGTTGCTCAGAGCCTGTTAGGGGGTGACCAGTCACACGATGTCCCTGATACATGCAATTTTGGAAGCAGGGATGGCCAGAGGTCTGCAAATAGTTGCTGGCTTCTGTAGCTATGTAAAAAATGGTGGTTCCTGCCCCTCCCCAGCTGACTCTCCCCTTGCCTCTGTCCTCAATCAATGCTGGACAAGGATGCTTAGAGCATCTTTGCTAACCATTGGCAAAGGAAGTCCCTGCTACTTTTTTTTACCTTTTCTTGCTCTGGAACTGGAAAGGGGGAAGGATGGGAAAGCACCCCCCCTCCAGATTTGGCCCCATGAGGCCCAGGTGCTCTAGGTGCTTAGGCCATGTAGTTGCCAAGCACTCCCTAGTCTTCCTATCAATTTTGGAGCTGGTGAGGGAGCAGGGATTGCTGCACAGCAATCACAATCTTCCCTGTCTAAAATAATCTCTGCAGGTTTTATTTTTTAAAAAACAAAACTCTCCAACTTTAAGCTTGGGAGAAAGCTTGGATGCTTTTCAGGGACTGGCGACACATACAACATAGCAAGGAACCTGGCAATGGCCTTTCTTCTTTTCAGGAAGATGCAGGTGGAAGGAAAGCCCTGAACTCTGTAAAAGAGATTAGTTCTGTAGAAGGAGAGGAAAGGAAAATATCAGAAGCAAAGAGGAGCTCTCAGTTTGGCAATACTTGTTTAGGCTGTGATCGCTATACTGGAAAAAATAGAGTTTTCCAACAGGGAAGTGTGCTAGTTACTTGTGTTTGTACACTCTAGAGTTTCTGGATTATCTGGCTGACCACAAGTCTAATACAAGAGTGAACTATTGGCTACAGTACTGTACAAAACCTATAAATCCAACTTCAGAGACACATTTTGAGGAAAGGGTAAACTGTTCAGGAAAAAGCAGAAAAAAGCAGAAATGCTTATGAGATACAACTTGCAAAGTCACAGATCTTCACGTAAGAAAGAGATTACTTAGGGTTACTTATTTTCAAAGACTCATCCATCTAGGTACATTGATCATAATGCCTATTCCACTGATATCTATTCATTTAAAAATAAATAAATAAAAACACTAGGCATTGTTAAGCGTTTCTAAAATATGCATACAACCAATTTGGTCTTGATATTCACAGTTAATAGAACAAACTGTCCTGTGGCATTTTAACGGCCAAGTTGTCTATAATGGCAGAGTCTTTCATGGAATGAAGTGCCTGCCTACTTCAAAAGGGCAGTGCATCCACTTCTTAATCAGCGAAAAGGAAGGATATGACCTCTTATTAATACATGCTTAATGTTCTGGCCATTTTCTTTTTAAATAGAGAGGGACCAGGGCCGAATACTGTAAAGGAAGATCCAAGAGAAAAAGTGGGGTAAGGCAATTCCAAGATAAAGGAACGGAGGCACATGAATGAGTATGATCAGATACAGCTAAAGTCCCTGGTCATTTCCCAAATATCAGCATCACTGATATAAATGCTGCTTTATTTCACACTTCTCTCCAAGTGTGATAGAGCAGCATTTAACACCCATTTACAGCCCAATTCAATACAGTCTTACTAAAAGTTTGCTTTCTTTTCAATACATTGTAGCCTTCCATGTATACACTCAATACATAAATAAAGAGTGGGATGAAAGATTATTGCAATAATGTCTGGCAAAAGCCTCTCTTTCATACTGTACTGAAACAGGTACTCAAATGCTTTCCGTGCAACTAAATTTGAAGCCTGCAATACTTATTATATTTATTTATATCCCACCTATTCCCAAAGATTGCAATGGAGATGTTCAGCTGCACAGATAAGGTTGTAGCTCAATGGCCTCTCTTAGATACTCTGGGTCCTGGATAACTGTTTGTCACGAGCCATTTAGAACAGATGAAATCATTTGGCTGATTTTAGTTTTAATATCTGAAATGGGGAGGATGAGAGGTCAGGTTTTTATGACATCTTGCTTCATTGTAATTGCAGTGAGAGAGAATGAGTGGGGGTGAAATTCTCCTTAGGGATGCGTCCTTGAAGTTTTCAACACACTGCATTATGAACCTTTCTGACTAAGATCATTGCTGGCAAGGAAGGCTGAAAGACATTCTTGCAAAGAAAACCTCAACTCTCCACAAAGAACTAACTGTCTGAATTAAAGCAATCCTAAACTCAGTGTGTTCCACTAAAAACACAACGCTAAAGGTTTCACTGAATTGGAATTTTTGGCAAAGACTGGGATAAAGTAAATAAGGCTGGGCAGAGAGGAGCTGGCAATGACTCACCCACTGGCAAACCTTAGGCTGGGTATAGCACTCCCATCAAAGAGGCAGTGACAAAATGACAAACTTGGGGCAAAAGCAAAGGAACAGGAGTAGAGCAAGGTGAGTAAACCAGTTTCCTCCTAATGCAAGCCACAGGCTCTTTCTAGTTTAATTCATTAGCTGCCATTACCCTTACGTTTGGTTCTTCCATCTCCTCTTCAACTGCAAGCCAGAACGGCCTGGTTCTTTTTCTTTTACACAAGAAGGATAATGCTACACACTCAGTCTGAGCATGGACAAATCATTATTTCCCAGCTTGCCTTGGGCTGCTAGTAACTAATATAAGCAGTTACTAAGAACTACTTGCACCACTCCTCTCTGAATGCTGCAACTTGGGGTCATCCAATAAAGTTTACATTACAAGTGGTAGGTTCAAGCTGAACAAATATGCCAAGTTGTTGCCATAATGCACAATTAATTTAAGAATTTCACTAGCACAATACATTGCAATAGCCACTCAAGCACAAATGGTTTGCTCAGGCTGTTTTAAAAGATGCATTTACATAAATATATAGGCAAACTATTAAATTTGCTTGTTCAGAGGGAGAATGGTCAGATTCTGAGACATATGACTCAGCACCAATAAAGACAGATATTGAACTAAATGAGTCTTTGATCTGATCCAGCACCAGTACTGCCATTCTTCTGATCTTAAAGGAATGATTTGGAACTGTTAGTAACAGAAGGCTGTTCTGTACTCACAAGAATCTAGATTCTTTCCAAATGTCATAGTCTTCATTTTGTCATACACTCATAAAACTGAATGCACTGAGCACAATATTTTGGGCATGGTACGCACCTCCTGCCTCTGCTTTCACTGTACCCTTGATGTAATTTGCTCCAAAAACTGGCTGTTTAATCTCACATTCTTTCATCAAATAAAAGGGCATCATGAAAGACTGCATTGGATCTTTTCCTTTAGACACAAAGATAACCTGCAAGAAGAATAAAAACCTTTTAACAATGCACACTTCAAACCAGAAAAAGCTACTGCCAGGGCCTAAAAAACTAAAATGGCCTTCTAATTCTAATGCTTCCATGGACCACGTATTCACTAGAACACTGACAACAAGCCATTCATTCAACTGATACCACAAAACAGCAATGCATTCTAGAAAGGCACAGTAGCTGGCATTGATGCCTGCCTATTTCCAAAAAGCTTCTTAGTTCCCAGAAAGCTTCATGGGTGCATTAAAAAGATACACATTGCCCTTGAGAAATTACCTGCCACTGTATTTGCAAGGGGCAGAAGCAATTCACTCATCCATCCAGCCTCCACTTTCTCCCCACCAGCATAATTTCTCAGTGGCACAGCTTCAGAATTAAAGATACTCCCATTAGCCAGCTGGGACTCAAAGCCCCACTTCAGGGGAAGAAGCTATTAGAAAATCATATAGTCTGTTATTCAGCAATGTTTCTTCTGAGCCAGACTTTGCCAACCTGGTATCCGCAAGTTGTGTTGGCCAATCCCCTTCCCACCTTCCCTGACCGTTTGTTATGCTGACAGCAGATGGTGGGAGGGACAGTTTACAACATCTGGAGGGCACTAGATGAAAAAAAAAAACCTGTTTCTAAGCCCTCACACTTCATTCTGCTTTGAAGGTATAAATCACTTGACTCCAAATGAGGGCAAATCAGGTGGAAGAGATAAAAAGAAAAGTCCAGAACAGTGCTTCAAGTGCACCTTACTGCTCCTGAAGTTTTGTAGTTGAACCTGTCCGATGTCTCTCTTCATTTTCAGTTTACCACACCCAACACCATGCCATCAATCAGCATACTTCTATCAGAGACAACATGCAACTATATGGTCCTGACAGGAAAGACTACATTGTTTGTGTTCTTCCAGGTTATGTCTGAAGTGTACGCTGCAAAACTAGTTTCCAGGAGATTCTTCTCTCTTCTATTAGAATTAAATGCAAGCTTGACTACTTACTCGATACGGGGTCATGAAGACACTGCCTTTCTTGGTCCCCTTGAATGCATCTGGCATGTGTTCCATATCATGGAATGTCATTTCGATGTGATCATAAGTCATCAAAATACTATATTCAAACAAAACAGAGGTATAATACTTGGGAAACATTCCTTAGTAATGGCTCATAGGTAAGACGGAAAATATGTGGTTTGGAACCATTCCCGCTGCTACACAGTAGGTCACCATGTGTGAACCATGTGTAATGTGCTCACGCTGATTGCTAATGACAATGTTACATTGTCAGCCCCCCCAATGTTGAGATTAGCTGAGCATCACAGGCATCACAAAACAGATACAAAAATCAATCCACACAAGATGCATAGCAAAGCCAGCATTCTGGATGGGTGGTACTTGATGGGTCAGAACTATTCAGTCTGCAGTGGCACTGTTTGCAGAACTGAATAAATTGTTCATGCCTTATTTCATCTGGGTACCCAGTTAATATATAAATAAGAGCCTCCATCCACCATCCAGGGCCTTCTTCTCACTGCTCAGCACTGCAAGAAAGTACCATCTGACAGTTTTTCAGGGATTCTGCTATTTCAATGCATCCAATGTAGCAACGTAAGGAGGGCTGTGCTGGATCAGACCCAGCATCCATCTAGTTCAGCATTTGTCTACATAGTGGCCAATCAGATGCTTATGGGAAGCCCACTGCAGGTTAGGGATGCAACAGCACCCTTCCTAGTTGTGTTTCCCATCAACTGGAAGAAGATGCACCCGACCTCTGATAATGGAGACAATATGTAGCCATAATGATTAGCAGCTCCTACTGAGAACTTTATCTTCCACACATCTGTCCAATCCCCTTTTAAAGCTGTTGATGCACTATAAAAAGTACTGCCTAAAGCAGCTATAGTTCAGACTCAATGGATGGCCCCAGAGTTCAACATTATGAGGAAAAAAGGTCTCCTTATCCACTTTCTCTACCCCATGAATAACTTTGTACATAATTATCATATCCATTACTCTTCCGGTTTTTTCAAAGTTAGAACTGCCCCGCTCCCCAAATAGCCTTTCTTTATTGGGAACCACTCCAGCTCGATTGTTTCATATCCTTTTGGAAATTTGGTGACAGAAATGTGGTGATATAGTATTCCAGGTATAGATACATCATAAATTTGTGTAAGGGCAGTACGATATGAGCAATTTCATTTTTGGTTCCTTTCCTAATATTAATAATCCTCAATATGGAATCTGGCCCAAGCAGAGGCCCAATGAAGATGGATTTCTACAGTATGAATGTATGGAGCATTTCAGCTCTCAATGATCCTCTGCTCATTCACATGGCTGACAGAAGGCATTGTGGCTACATACTCTGAAAGGGAAAGGTCCTATAAGCCTTTTCCAGAGACCATCTGTTTCTTTGTGATCTGCAGTAAACTGTGAAATCCATGCAGCCTTGCAGTCTTTACTAAATCCATGTTATAATTCAATTGCTTGCAAGTGATTGGTCATAATCTTCTAAATACGCTTCTGTTCCATCTCTCGTTTATTCAGGAGAATACACACACACACACACACACACAGGAAACTTGTAATATGTAGTTGTCTGTATGTGCTATGATCTCCAGGGTACAGTGCCTCTCTCTAGCTCCAATTGTGCCATTTTAGGCAGTTGCTGCCCCATAAGCACTATGCTATTGATACAGAAAGTGAGAAGAAAATGGAGAAAGTGCATCCTGAAAATCTGCAATATCGCGCTGTACTAAGAGGACACCTGTAAGCCTTCTGACTCCTAGCTTCACTTGTAGTTGCAAACTCAGTGTACTGTGCTTTAATAATTTAAACCACAGGCTTTTTCTAGCACACAATCTCTCCTACAGAAGTATGTATGTAAACTGATTTTGATGGTGTCCCCACTACCATAATTCTTACAAATTGATACTTAGCAAAAATAATCTTGAGACTTAAATTTCCCACTGCTGAGGATTTGAGCCAAAGATCAATTGCTTCCGCCTTTGACACCTCAAGGAGAATTGTGAAGGCTGTGAAATCTTATATGGAAGGTAACCTAGAAGCCTGCAGGTATGATCAAGTTGTGAAACCTTATATGAGAAACAAAAAGAACCACAAAAGGCTAGAAGATAACAAGAGGCTGGTAGTTTGGATTCCTCTGCAAGACAGTCACATAATAAAGTCTGACAGCTTTCCAAATGTCCCTCAGAAGGATGCCATTTCACAGTCTGGAGTCCCTACTCCCCCTCACTTTGTATTTCCTATATGGCTACAAATACCGGCTTCTTACTGGCTATGCCCCTGCTTTTGCTCTGATGAGTAGCCTACACTGAAATACTGTTCCCTGACAATGCCTTTATTTTATGTATTTGTTTGTTTAAGGTTTTTTTATGCCATCCCATTACTCAAAAATTCTCTGGGTGGCTTACAGAGAGAGAATTAAAAAAAGTCAGAGCCCATAACACCACCACACATCTTTTTTTAAAAAAGTGTTTCCCTCTTGAGGATATTCCCTGCAACACCTTCAAATTGAAGACTGTGCAACAGCCATAATACTTCTCTAACCCACTTGGGCCCGGTACTGTAGTAGGTTTGCCTCTAGCATCTTGCCCGCTTTCTAGACAATAGAAAGAGACATCCAATGACAGTAGATTGTATTGGAACTAATTGCTATTATCCTGGTACAGAGAAGAAGAAATAGCAAATGAATTAAATTTTATTTTAAAAAGTAACCACAGTAGCAATTTTGAGAAAAGGTGAAAAATTATTCTCACTCTCAAAAGCTGCAAACAAAGGACATCCAAATGAATTGCTCAGGACAAATGAAAGGAAATGAAATAGAATTTCATGTAATGCATCAGTAATTTAAGGTATTCATTGCCACAGATTGTTGGTAAAAGGCTGCTTTTAAAAAAAGTCCCAAATTGATGGAGGATAAGTCTAGCAATGTCTATTAGTTCCACAAGCCACAATTGCAACATTCATGTTCAGTGATACTATTACTCCATTTAAAAAAAAGTCTCACAACACCTTACAACTATTGTGGTATAAGCTTCTAGAACTAAGTTCCACTTCATCAGATGCATGAAATGTAACACTCAAACAATGGCATAAATTCAACGTGGTAGGTGGGGGGAACATGTACTACTTGGAATTAAATGATGATGAAATGCAAGCAGTAACATCCGTGATATTTCAATTACAGCTCAGACAGGGAGTTATGTCAATCACCCATGTCTGTGAGCTTCCAAGAGCTGCAGATGCAAAGTTCTTTCGCTACTGGAGAGCGAGACAGTAAAATCGCCAATAAGTTAAACTGTCCCCAGGTGTGAGCACAACCTGTACAACGGGAGAAGCCCGAGCAGCAAGGCCTGAGCTTGCCAGGGGCAGCACTTCCAACCCAGTCCAGCAGCTGCCCAAAGGGTTGCGGTGGGCGGGAGAAAGGGTGGAGGGGGAAGGGGGGGCTGATCCGAACAGGAAAGCCGGCGGTCTCTCCCCGCCCCTCAGAGGGCGGGCATCCCAACAGCGGGGGACACCGAGAGACCGCGGCCGGGACCAGGAGGGAGGGATGATGCACAACTGACGAGGTGGAAACACACCACGGTCCCACAAGAAGAATTAGACCTGCGAGCGCGTTGCCTGCGCGCGCACCCCCATTACCTTTCGCTGTTATTGACGATGACGCCGCCCCCCTCCGAATGGTTCCTGTTCAGCGCCATGGCCGCTGAACAGCCGCTGACCCTTCCCTTGCACCTGTCGACTGAGGAGAGTCGACGTCGCAAAGCGGCACTACGCAAGCTCCGCGGATGGCTTCCGGCGTACTTGTGCTCTAAGCAACGCAGAATCCGGAAGGCGGTGAGAGGGATGGCGTGAAGCCTGACGGGAAAGGTAGTTCGTTGTTGGAAAGCGAGGCGGCCATTTTTGACCTATCGCGTAGTAACTATTTCTCGTGATGCATCCTGGGAATTGTAAAGAGGGCTGGGGAGGGAGAGGTGAAAGTTATCTGGTAAAGAGATGTGTGAGTAGATTGACATATCGCTACGCGCAGGTTTGGGATCTGTTTATGTATTTCATTTTGGATTGTTTCACCATAAGGTTTTTAAGGTAAGGAGATGCAGAAGTGCTTTCGCATTGCCTTCTTCGGTGGAGGACTAACCAGAATTAGCTTGAGTGTAGCTGCCTCTTTCTTTCACTTTCAGCACCTACTGCCACTGAGGAGATACCCTTCCGAAGTGTCTGCCCCCATCACCATTAAGGATCCGTTCGCTTCTGCTGATGTGCCCCTTACTCCTGAAGAGGGCGGCTGCATTTTAGCCTGGTGTCCTAGCTTTGACCATTCCACCTTGGGTGACCCTGCTAGGAGACCAGCCTAGCCAGACATGCTGGCCTCCTGCATTCAGGATCCTCTATTTAGGATAGTTTATTTATTTCTCAGGCCCCCGTTTGGTTTGGGGTTCTCATGGGAACAATACTGTTCCTGCTGAAACCCCAAACCAAACGAAGGATGGGGAAATGGCTGTGCAACTTTGAGAAGAAGTGAGTTCCACCCATTAGCTCATTACCCCTCCTTTAGACCAGTAAAAACTATTCCCCAGAGGGGGTCTGTTAGGTTTAGAGGCTATGCACAACAATGGAGTTTGAATTTGTAATAGTAATATTTTAAGTTACTGGAGATGGGTGAGGGTTGTCCCACCTCTCATTTAAAAATCAAGATCAAATTGTTGCTGAAAAGCAGTCTCATGATTGCTGTTAAACATTTATAAAGCACCAAAATTGAGTAAGAGCTGGACGCTGATTAAAAGCAAACACAGACTCCCATCCCACAGGTTTTCAATCTAAAATGCATCACATGCATGTTGAAACAATCTGTGAAAGGTATGTATGGGCTAGTCTGCCTTCACACCTGGTGGCCACTACTCCCCCAGGAACTTAGTGCTCTTTGTGCACATGCTGTATGTATGGAGAAATCCTCCATGTGAGGGCAGATCCTGGCCAATCAGGTTCCCTTCTCTCATGGTGACACTCTATATGTATACCTCAGTATGTGCAGAACCCAGTCTTAGGTTCTTTGCATATGTATGTAAGGCTGACCACTGGGCACATTGGCAGTGAAGGCCAGCCTAGCGTGCAGAGCCCCACGGTCTTGTCCTTTCAAATGATTAACCTCACCTTCCTCAACCTGGTGCCCACCCAATATTTTGGACCACAGTGCCAACCCTCACTGGCCGTAGGCTATACTGTCTGGAGTTGATTAAAGTTGAAGTACAAACGTTTAGAGGGGCACAGGCTGGGTGTATTTAAATGGAAACAGATTAAATGGTTAATGATGCGAACCTTTCCTTATTGCTGCTCCAGCAGTCTCCAGTGGTTTATGCCAGAATATTGCTTATTTGTTTGGTTACAATACTTTTACCCTGCTCTTCAAGGGAAAAAAAACTCCTGGGCCAATTTACAAGGAATAATATGATTACTAAGATTGATGTTGTCATTCATTTGGTGAATGTTACATTATAGCATGGTTGGGCAATCTCTTTCTTCTAACAGCCCACATTCCAGTGGTAGGTGGGCTGAAGGCAAAGTGGGGGGATTAAAAAAAAATCTTAAAAATTCTTACTGCCTGTAAGTAAACTTTGGGAGAGGAATTTTGACCTTCTACAATGGAGGGGCATGGAGAAATATATAAAAGTCAAAGAAATACCAAGAGTCAGTGTTTCAGAGAAAGGGGTATGGCTGTCAGGGGAAATTAAAAGGGCCAGATTAGGACCCTGGGCTTGAGGCTTTCCGATTCCTGCAATATAGATTTCAGTATATTTTAAAATCAATGGAATAAGTAAATATAACTTAATTCAAGTCAGGGCAAAGTCAGGGCAAGGTTATTACTAAAACTGCATAATTTATCTGAAACTTCGTTATGACTATCTTTAGATATATATATTTATTTATTTAAAACATTTCTTTGCCGCCCCCATCGCAACAAAGCCTCGGGGTGGCTCACAACAAAAACAAAAACATACAAAATCACACAAAAATTATACACTAAAAATATTAAAACCCGGTGCATCTCGCCTTAATTTTTTTTTAAAATCCTACATAATAAATTAACACTTAAAATAAGTTTTAAATAAAAAGGTGTTAGCCTGGTGCCAAAAAACAAATAACAACGGCGCCAGTCGGACCTCTCTGGGGAGCGCATTCCATAGGTGGGGCGCCACCGCAGAGAAAGCCCTCCTCCGGGTACTCACCCTCCTAATATTCACAGAGGGTTCCCGGAGAAGGGCATCTGTTGCTGATCTCAAGGGGCGGAAGGGCATATATGGACGCAAGTGTTCCTTTAGATACCCAGGGCCCAAGCCATTGAGGGCTTTGTAGGTCATAACCAACACCTTGAATTGGGCCCGGACTTCAATGGGAAGCCAGTGGAGCTGACGGAGAACTGGGGTTATAGGAAAACAACGCCTAGTCCCCGTCAGCAGCCTGGCAGCTCTATTCTGCACCAATTGAAGTATCCAGACCATCTTCAAGGGTAGCCCCACGTAGAGTGCATTGCAGAAATCTAATCCTAATATATGCCTTGTACACTAGTGTAAAGCTGTGGTTTTAATTATTTTAATAATGGTGTTTTATTCCTTTATTGTTCACTGATTTGGAATCTTAGATGTGAAGTGGTATATAAATGATGTAAACATATAATAAAGCTCATTCATATACTAATTTCATCCACCTTTGCATTCTTATTTGTTAATATATTTGTTTCCTGATTTGTTTCTCTCTATATATAAAACATCAAATAATGTGAGCATCACTTATAAAAGTAAACTGCAGGTGTAGTGATGCTTTGGTTTTCAACTTTCACCAGCCCCAGCCAGAATGACTGTGGTTAGGAATGCTGGGACCTGTAGTCCAAAATACCTGAAGCATGCCAGATGGACTATATTACAGAGTAATTTGTCTTTTGGTTGTTTTCCCATATGGAACAGCTGCAATTCAGGCATTTAGCCTTTTTAAAAAGAAGAAAACTTGCACTTCTCTGGGTTTATGAGCTATTTTTACTACAATTCTAGTCTTTTGTGGTTTTGTGCCATTGCTTTTTATGAAGAAATTTCCTGGCTAGCTCAGTAGTGGAGAAAACACTCATTTTTCCAAGGCTTTCATCCAAGTTGAGATGCTGTGAGTGAAAACTACATGTTTATCTTCAAATGAATTCCCGCTAAGCAATTGTGGTTGTTTGCAAGCTTGTTATGGAGAAGACCAATGCTTTAACATCGTAAAAATCATATTATTTCTGTTTGTAAAGGGGAAGAAACCCCTAATTATAGGTTATTATGACAACAACAGTAGCAGCTTTGCAAACTGCCTTATTCCAGAATGGTTATGATACTGTATTTATACATGGTTTCATTAAGTACATGCTCTAAATTTGTAATGAAAGATTGAACCAACAAACCAGGAATCACTGAGAGAACAAAACAAACATATAACCTTAAACAAATAATTAGCACTGTTATCCCTCACCCTGGCCTAGTCACCTGGCTGTATCACAAGGAAAGGTGAGGCTGTAAGGCCCCTGCTACCTGGTTATGCCTGGTTCCCCCAATACCAACCATCCCAGGATGTAAGATCAGCTTTGCCTGTACTGACCCTCATGAGTGTGGTATGTGGGCCTTCTATAGGTAACAGGATGGGTTTGGTGGTGGTACACAGCATATTCTCTTTCGACAGAGGTTTGGCTGTTCCCCACCCAAGCTGCTATCATTTACGTATCCATTAAATACACTGCATACTTACTTCTGGAGATCTTTCACATATAGGCAAGTGCCCCCTTTTACTGGTATTTTTATTGTATTTTAGTATACCTTTGTGACTTTAGTCATTACATTTTGGTATATTGTGTTTTCTGCAGGTATTAGCCACACTAGGATCTTTGTGAGGGAGTGTGGAATATTTATATTTTTTTGCTATTTTTTAACTTGACTTTTAAAAACAAATTTACTTTCACTTGAGTGAAATGTTTTTACTGGAGAGTACTTTTAATGTCAAAAAGCAGCATATAAATACCACGAAATGAACAGGCTGCAAAGTATCTTTAGGATTTATACTTCAGGGAATCCACATAAGCCCATGCCAAATTACTAGGGAGGTCACTGGGGTCTATCATTACAGCTCACTATTTTATAGCTTGATCATAGACCTTGCTATACAAACAAACAAGTCTTTGCTATGCGACAACTGTTACATAATCGCAGCACTAGTTAAGTGATGTTGCGCTACTATTGCAATCTGGCAGCTCCGGTATCACAGGCAGGAAGCAAATCAAATAAACAGGTTTTGAAGGATTTTCATGCAGAAGAATGAGTGCTGTTCATTTCCATGTGCTATGAAGGGCAGAATATGGTGGATTAATGTGGATAATGGAAATTTTTCAGGTTTGAGTTGAACTTGTTATCAGTGGACAGTTTTAGCTCCAAGTGTTCCAATAATCATGAGTGTTTCCTCATGATACTTTGATATAAATGGGCGGAAATGCCTAGATCTTATCCAAGGAAAACATACATACGTGCCACAAAAAAATAGAGGACTTTAAAAAAATTGACACTGGTCTACAAACATTTGTTCAGTAAATGGTGTGGATAGCGCATGTGGTCGTGTTGTTGCTATCTTCAAGTTCCATAGTATATCGAAGGAAAGATGGTCAATTATTGTCTGCCTGTAGTAAACTAGTCTGGTAAACATTTTAGAAAGCAAATGCAAATTTATTCCTCGTTTACCAAAGTGAGACAAATTAAGGCCATGTTTCCATATTATTTAATGGAAATTACATTTCCCTTTATATCCCAAATATCTTTGTGAGGAGTTCCTTTTGGGTTTTGGTGGGGCACAAGGCAGAAAATTTATCACCATTTGAAAAATGAGACACAGCTTAGAAGTATCAATAGCACCATGTTACGAGTATGTAAACAAACAAACCTACTGTGTTTACCCTTTTGCTTATCAAGGAAAGAGAAAGCCAGGTTTGCTTCAGGGTGAACTTTTTGATTATTTTGATTATTATTCGATTCTTCCAGTTGATCCCTAAAGACTTACAGCGCTGAGAAATTACAGCACTAACATAGCATTCTGTAAGTAACTTCTACCAACTGCAATAGTGCAGGTATATGGCTGCAATGACAGGAACATTTATTAGAAAGTAAATCTCAATTACTCAAGTCAGACTAACATGTGATTAAACTTAGTATTTGGCTGAAAGCTGAACAGGCGAAGCCATAAATGTAACAATGCTGGACGAAGACTGGAGTCACTGTGCTGTAGTTATTTCCATCAGTGGAAACAGAAAAAGCTATGGTGATCTCACTGTCTTTTGGTGATAGACAAGAACTTAGTGAGCCCCAGACAGCAGAAACAAGTGAACTCATGTAATTAACCTCATGATTAATCCAATCATACCATTTGCACTCTGTATACAGTCCATAATAGAATTTATTTTGTACAAAAGAGCAAGCCTTGTGGGCTAGGCAATATATAGACTAATACTGGAGAAAACTCTTGCAGACATCTTTAATACTTGAGACTATGGATAATAAAGTACATCAGCATCGGAGTAATTCAGTTATCTTCACGGTATGCAGGAAACTACATCTTGAAACCTTAACTCTTTTTCCATACTAACCTAGATTTATTTTCTCTTCCATCATCATTAATTTATTTTAAAACCTATAATGATCTAGTAGTTCATAATATTCCACAGATGGAAGAAATCCAATGGGTCATCCGTTTCAACTTAACTACTGTCTCCCATTCTAAAACAGAGTAATTCAAATTAGTAGTTTAGATTTGGCTCCTTAATGTCCACAGAAGCATTTGCAATGTCTGAGCTATGAATCTTTTCTAAAAGCATCTAGAAGAGTCACTGAGATCTCAACTATCCCTATGCTCTCGGTAGGACTAGATGTTAAATGGAATATTGTTTGCTGCATCCTGTTAGTTTGGGGCAGGGCGGGGGGGGGGTAGAAACAACTGACCTAATATTTTGTTATTTATATTTATATCCTGCTGTTTTTCCTGCAAGGAATTCACAGTGGCTTATATAATCCTCCTCCTCTCAATTTTATCCTTACAACAACCCTATGAGGTAGCTTAAGCTGGGTGTCAGTGACTGGTCCAAAGTCACTCCGTGAGCTTCATGACTGAGTGAAGACCAGAATCTGGATCTCCTAATTCCCAGTCCAGCAATCTCACCACACTGGCAGTTACAGGAGAAAAGCTGCTCTAATATGTTAAGTACAGCAAAAGTCAGGCTTCCTCAAACTGCAACCTTCCAGCCACGTTGAAGTACAATTCACACCATCCGTAGACAATTGCAATGAAATGCTATCTGAAAATGATGTGAGTTATAACCCAACACATCAGGAGGGCACCAAACTGGGGAAAGGCTGGTCTGTGGTTACTTCAGGTCTTTGCCATGCCTAAAGGCTCAAACCTCAATTCTTTGCCTTAATTCAGTATATCTGACCCCATTTCTTGGTTCTAAACAAAATCTACCACCTCTAGGGCTTCCACCTACTGCATGAAAACAACACATGTTGCTTTAGCAAGTGGCTATACACCAACAAGAGAAAAGTTGATGGGAGGCATTTCTCTCCTTGTCTAATGATATTTCAAGTTGCAATCATCCCATGAAGCTTACTGGTGAGATCCAGGAGAGATAAAAGGAAGTACTTCTTTTCACAGTACATACAGCTATGGAATTTGCCACCACAAGATTTGCTGATGTCAACCAATCTGCATGGCTTTAAAAGGGGACTGGTCAAATTCATGAAGGACAGTACTATCAATAGCCACTAATCCTGAGGGCTATTTGCTCCCTCCGGGATCAGAACTTGGGCAGAGGAATCCGTTACATTCACGTCCTGCTGGTACTTTTCCATGGGCAGCTGGGTTAGCCACTGTGTGAACAAAATGCTGTACCAGGTGGGCCCTTAGTTTGATCCAGCAGGGTGGTTCTTATGTTCTTCAAAGATTATGGGAAAAGGGCAACTCGCCACCAGGTACAAAAACTCTCCTATTCGTTTGCCCCCATTCCCCATCTCTGTCCTGGAATATTGGAACATCCCCCAAGTTGGTGTCCTCCATCCTAACTGGGAGTTAAAGTCCAGCACATCTGGAAAGCACTACGTTGGGGAAGGCTATATTAGAATTCCAGCCCAGTCACTTTATCCTGTATCGCTTTTAACCATCAGGAAACCTGTTAATACAGCATTGCTGCAACTTCACACTGCCATCCTGGGGCAGTCAGTCTCACGAAATACTATATAGACTGACCTCTACCTTGTGGGATCACACCCAGGTCTTCCCTGAGGTAGTACATTCTTTGCTACTGCACACTAACTCAACAGGTACAGTGACTATTCACAACTGACACAACAGTTTCCTCCACTCGTATTTTCTGTGTATCTGAAATATTTTGGGGTGGTGGTAGTGAGGGAAGTGAACATTCTTGACAGAACAGTTCATGTATGGAAGTACTGATTTAGTGAGATTTCAAAGCAAGTGATGTTCTGTGGCACAGGTAAACTTTGATCAAAGGTGGTATCCTAACACCTTACTTTCTAGTATGTGTGGATGGCCTTTTGCACTATTGTGCCTGAAAGACTTTTTCCAACAGTATTTAGTAAAGGTTTAAAATGGTAATATTCAGCGACTGTATGGAAACCCCAGTGTTGGAGGCATGTAGTCTGTACATTTGATGGGATATCTGAATACCCACCACAGCCATGTGATGTTCATTACCAAAACATTGCGAGGACAATTTATCATTAGATCAGATCTCAGTGACAAAATGCCAGTTTCACAACAATGAATGGCCTGCTAGGACTGAATATGGAAAAACCCAAATATTTACTACCAATGAAAATTTTCTAGATTAGTCCATGGACATTACTGCCTAGTGCTCAGTCCAATCGGTTTTTAAATGATTAAACTGACAAGAATTCTCCTCCTCTTGTAGTTCTTCTGTGGAAAATAACTTTGATCCAAAATATTTTTTACAGTATGGAGTGAATTACTGCATGAATTAGTGCTATCTTTTTTATTGAATTTTACAGGAATTCAGTATCTGCACTCCAGTTTTGGATCACAGAGTAGAACTAGAAAGACTATTATTTTAGCCTGTATTTTCTTTAAAAGAGCAAATTGCTTCTAGTGGGCCTGTATAGAAGCTTGGAAAAGAACCTGCATTGTAGGGAACTTGTGATCCTCCAGATATTTTGGCCTACAGCTTCCATCTTCTTGCACATCTGGTGTTCTGAGTTAAGCTCAATGTAAATATGCTTAACATTGTATGTCCTTGACTAAAATCCAAGAAAGGAAAAGGCCATAATAAAGAACACTCATCATTTTTAAAGCTACCTGTCGTTATTTAAAGCTGGTGGTGACAGATATATAAGTGACAAGTCTCAAAACCCTAGATCATGGATGTGCCATACTGTTCCAAGAGAAGATTTCACTTAACCTTCTTTGCTGACTCCAGTATTTTCTTGCCATATATTGAGTTACCGACGCTTCAGCACTGAAACACAGTCTTTTTTTAAAGGCCCAAGCTGCATGTGAGCATCTACACTTTCAAGGAAAAAGGCTGGTTTGAGGTTGTGTATGAAGAGCGCTGGAAACTGGTGGTTGATCTTATTCTGGAAGGGATCAAAATGGCCCTTTTTGAAGCGAGCAACTTTGAACTGCTGCAGGCATGTCATCTTGGAATCCTTGACTCCGTAGAATGTCAGCACCTTCTCTGAATACTCCAAGTACACCCCAATGGTGTGGAAGAAAGGCTGCTGTATGACACAGTCAAAGCCCCCAAACCAGGCGACGTAGTTCTGCCCATTCCACTGCAGGCAGCAGGACTTGTCATTCCTCCCCAGGCGGCCCTTGTCGTATGACTCCTGTGGGTTGAAGTCTTCCGTGATGACCCCAATGCTCACCCAGCCATCAATGATCTCCACTTCCCAATAGTAGTTGCCACGGTTCATTATGTTCTCACCCAGCACCTGCTCACAGTTGATGAACCTGGTTGAACTCCCGGGATAGGCAATCGGATTCAGCACACGCTTGGCTCCCTTGGTTCCAAAGAGCTGGAGGAACTTGTCAGCAGTATCACTGTCCAAATCGATGATGAACGCAACTGTGCAGAAGGAGACACAAAAGGCAAAGGAAAGGATAAGGACACAAGGTCACGGATTATTTCACCTCCCTGCACAACAAAATCAAAACAGAAGCATTGAGGTGTATGGTTATCTAGGATGCTTTCTTGAAGCCTGTGTATTAACATTTCCTAAGAATAGTAGGATATTTTTCTATGCATAAAATTTATGAGTACATAGTATATATGTACTCACTGTAACAGAGTCACTCAAATGCCATGTAAGAAAATTATTTTATTTCTCTATTTTTCAATGTGGTTTTGTTTTGATTTTTGAAACTCGCATGAAAAATAATGTACCATCACTGGAACATTTCCACTTAGTAGTTACCCTTCTCCTGAGAGCTTTAGGATTTTAAGTTCATTTTCAGTTCTGTGACCAATGAATGCCAAACTAACCAAAACATATAGTGCAAAACCCTCGGAGGGGTGTTGTGTTCTTGCAGCTTTGTGGAGAGCTCTCAGGGGTGGCATCCCAGTCACACAATGGTTCAAAGGTGAAAATGGGGCTATGTAAAAGTGATATAAAGAGCCAGCCTTCCATGAAAGTGCTTCTCAGCTCATCAAGAAGTAATAAATCTTTTTTTGTCTGGTGGATTAGAATCCTGAGAATAAGTGCTCTAGGGAATTTGGAAGGTCTTGGCCATGAGCATCTTTGCAGCCCGTTTGCCATTAGAGGAGTTTAACAGAGCAGCAGGACAAAATGTGTGTTATGTCGCATGTGTGTGTTCACACTGGAGAGGGACGGCAGATGGCGGGGGGAGCTCTAGCTTTGTGTTTGCACTGATATGCACCAGGTCAGGAGGAGGGGGGACTGGGTGTATTTGGGGCAGCCTCAGGGAGCAGCAGCAAGACAGACTAGGCTCTTTGCAGATTTTGTGAGGCTTTGCAGTACTGGGTACTGCAATGGCAGTATCAGGAGACAGGGAAGTAGAGACAAGAGGGAGGGACACAAAGGCATGGAAGGCAGAGGGGTTATGCGCAGTTCTGGCAGGAATGAGAACCTGAAGAAGAAGAAAGCAGCGTAGATTGGTGGGGATGCAGGCAACCCAACAATGGAGAGCCAGTGTGGTGTGGGGCTTACAGTGTTGTACTAGGGAGATGAGTTCTAGTCTCCACTTGGCCGTGAAGCTCACTGGGCAATATTGAGGCAATCAATGAGTCTCCCAGGGTGGTTGTGAAGATAAAATAGGGAGGAGAATGGGTAACTTAAGTTTTTTGCAAAAGGAAAAAAGGCTGAATATAAAAATATGATAAACTATCCAGAGTAGAGCTTTGTATCCTCACCAGCAGGAGGGGACTTAAAGGGGACCTACAAATTACATTGTTTGAAGTATTCATGTGTGCTCACCTATCCCTTCACAAGCAGACCCCACTCCAAGACACTGTGTGCTGCCTGTGTTTTTGGCAGGCCGGCCGATTTTTAAAAAAATTGTTTTCCCTTTATTAGCATAGTTCCTGTGCACAGGATCCAATTGTTCTAGGAATTAGCTTATGGTTACCATAGTACTGCAGAGGGAATAGGCTCTTTCAATGGCTAGTAGAAAAGAAAAGCTGGCAGAATTTGTTAAGCCTTAGGCTGTTCAGTGGCAGAGAGCAGGAACTGTGATGGGGGAAGTGGAAGCCCAATGATTATCAAGGCCCCTTCTGTGTTCTGTGCAGTTTAGCTCAAGCTACCTTCATGCTTCCAGGTAACCCCTGCTACAAGCACAAGGGCTTGAGACACATGCATTATAAACTATGCAAGTCTCAGGAGGCTGCATTAGAGAATGTACTCCTGAGCCAGCAAAGTCAGCTGCTGATCTGCTTATCCCTAAGCAACTTGTATTTTGCTGGCTCCCAGGTGAACCTGGCTGTCCATTAAGATCTTATCCTGAAGCCTCATTTTGGGAGGGAATACAGGTGGCTACCGAAGAGGGGCAACAAGGTTGAATCCCAACTCCAGAGCACCCTCCCTAAGGAGAGCCACCTGAAGCCACCATAAGTATCTTTTCTATTTACCTATTTTTGCCATTTTGTGAGTTTTACCAATTGCCAATTTTAAGAAGTTAGAGGGATTTTAAAAATTAATGTGGTTATTCTTACTTTTAAAAGTCTTCAAAGTAAAAGTCTTTAAAAAGTAGGGAGACACAATACACACTCAATACATGAGCAAATAAATAGCACATCAAGAATTTCAGGCCATTAAAAATGGGCTTTATGATACTGCACTTTATAGTTAACATAATTCTTTAGCCACCACTTCTTTCAATGGAAGAGTGAACATGTGCTCTCCATTTCCTCTAATAGGTGACTCTCACAAGCAGAGTAAGGAGTATTGTTTGATGACAGGGCATATCCTGTGTCTCCCATCCTCATCCTTAAATCTCTACCTCATCAGCGGGAAGTAGCCAGCTTGGAAAAGACCCCTGCTGAGGCACTGAATATACGAGGATTCTTTAAAAAGTTGCCACACTTTTATAATTCTATTTATTGAGAATTTCAAAAGCAAATTACATCACTTTTCTACATAGTCACCTTCCTTTGTGATGCATTTTTCCCAGCGTCATACCAACTTTTTAATGCCATAAGCAAAACATGTATAAAATATACTTATAAAATATGTAAGTACGGAAATCTTTTGAAGACCCCTCGTATTTCAAGATCTTTTAAAATACTTTGAACAATGCACTACTCTGACTACTTAATTGAAAAGTAGTTTATATCTATATAGTATATATAATATTAAAGTAGTAGTATATATAGTATATATATGTTAAGTCTACTTTATATAGTATATATAATATTAAACTATAATACTATAATATTATCACAGTTGATAAGACTGGGCTATACAAACTACTGCCAGGTGTAGGTCATTTCCTTGTGTAACTTTCCTGTCAGGGTATGTAAAAGTCACTAAACATATATGGCTGAAATTAAACACTTTTCAGCACCATAGATTTTAGTGGGAAAAGAGTTGTCCATATGCATAACTTTCACATTCAGTCATGGAACTGAAAAGTATTTAATTTTGCCCAGGCTGTACCCAATTATTTTTATTCTTGATTAATTCTGATATACATTTCCAGTAGGATTACAGTTATATAATACACCATACACAAAGTATGCCATCGGCTAAAAGTTGCTCAGCAAAGAAAAAGGAATATATAACATAAAATGGTTTTTACATTTGAGAAAATAGTCTCGTGACTCCAAACAGGTAGGGCTGCTGCTTTTTTCGGAAATCTGGGGCCCAATGGTCACTGTGAAGAGAGAAATTCGTTACCATTTTTACACCAGCACTTCACACGGCAGAACTGAACAGGTTGCATTAAAAGGACTCTTTGCCATGAAACCACAAGAGGAAGGTGCACTATTCTATACAACCTTGGGGGCAATTATCCTTCTTTTACCCATATTTGACTAGTATCAACAGCAGTGCTGCTGTGCTTAGATTTTTAAACTGAGAAATTAAAAGAGGAAACCTTCACAGTATGTTATCCCAGGATCCAAGATTCAACCATATGGTGATGCTACTCATAACCAGCAAAGATGTCTATTCACAAGCTGCACTGTGGTCTGCTAGTCTAGGAGTGAGCTGAAAACCGATCTCCAGATGTTTTGACAGTAACTTCCAGCATTCCTGCCACTGACCATGCTGGCAGGGCCTTCAGGAAAGTGAAGTTCAACATAATCTCAGGACTATCACTATCTTCCCATCCCTGCTCTAGTAATTGAGCCACAATACAAAATTGTTGGATGAGCAACTTTTGCTCTGGATCTGGAGACCCCTAACTCCTGGCTGCCCCCTTTCCTCCTCCTACTGGCCCTTCATGGGCAGCAGTAACACAGATCTAGAGCAGAGCCACCTTCAAGATGCAGGCCCCAAGTAGACAGAAGCCAGAGCAAGGCTAGCATTCACACTACAACTGCTTATTTGGGTAGCTGCTGAAGGTCATATCTATAGAAAGACACACTCAGTTACAATGAACAGGCAAATGAAAAGTGGGTATGGGAAATGGATTGAGTACTGTTTTGTGCAGCTGTAGAGGGAAAATGCAAACTGGGAGTTTTAAATAGCACAACTAGAAGCTAGAAGAGTGCAAGCGAACTCCCTGTGTGTCTCAGCCAGCAACTTCTGCCCTAATCCTGGCAGGACAAGGAACCTGGAAACGAAAGGATGTCAATACATGAACGTTTCCCTGTGTTCTGAAAGACAAGGCCCTGTTTCAAGGACAGTCACTTTGGATGTGTTCCCCAAACCACTGTTGGCCACACCCAGCGATGTCTGTTTGTTGCCTTCAGATTTATTTGAGTCATTATGGAAACCTCATAAAACCTCCAGAGTATGGCAATGGGGTCCAGAAACCTGAGACCAAATTAGAGTCTTGTTATTATCCAATTTTAGAACAGCTGCACCCTTTTTGCAGTACTTTGAGTGTCTGTTGCTTGCAATGTATTTTGCCTTTGAAGATGCTGGCATTGTACACTAATCTACTGGTCACAAATGCCAACTTAAAAGTGCTTATGAGCTCCTTTACAGAACAGCAGAGGGAGCTGGAGATGTTAAAAAAAAAAAGACCACTGGTCACGTGACTAATATCCAGCAGATTCTAATGGCCTAAAATCTAAATCTGAAAATAAAAGCAGCAAAATTGTGCAAATAAAATGTATCATTGGACAAAGTGTATGCAAGTGTGCTGAATTAACAAAAGAGGCTGGCTACCACAATGGCATCAAGGGGGACAATTAATAATTTCTTTTAATTGGAGAGGGGAAAGTATGGAAACAGTGCTAGGGAGACAACCCTGAAAACCACTGGAAAGAAGAGTCCATGCGTGTTGTAGCCATGTCTTCCAGCCTATTCCTATTCACAGATGTTCACAGAGGTCCTTAAAACATTACAGTAATTTGTAGCAGACAGATCCAACTTTTGCAGGTCAGGCACTATTGGGACCCCTGCATCTGATATTTGATTGATACAAAACTACAGATACTTTCTAAAGTGGGGCCGGGGGAGAACCTCAGGCCTGTGGTCCTAAAGCAGCCCCCTGAGCACCCCGGGCTGGGCACTCCCTCTACCCTACCCTCACCCCTTTTCCTGATTGTTTGGAGACTGTCTAGATCGTGTGCCATATTTTTCCCCATCCTAAAAGGCTGAACTGCTTCTTCTAAGGCTTAGTTACTGGCAATAAGAGCATTAAACAAAAGGATGTGGCTAATTCTGGCCACGCCCCTTTTGCCTTTGGCCCTGGCCACCTGCAGAATGCAGCCCCAAAGGTTTCTCCAAAATAGAATTTGGCCTTTGGGTCGGAAGAGGTTCAACATCCCAGTTTTGCAGAAACTTGCATGGCAGCCATTAAAGCCAGCCAAGACTTTGGAAGTCCAAACACAGCACAGAATGCCTGTGTGGAACACAAGGAGAGCATTTACTCTACTACACACCTTCGGGCATCCCATACAGGATGGGTTCTTCTTCCCCCTTCCCTGAGAGCTGATCCCACTGGCTCTTGCAAATGTTCACTAGCAGCTCCTTCACAGCCGACACCGCCTGGCTGGATTTGATAAAGCTCAGCTCTTTGGGGAAGTTTGCACACGGGATGTTTTTCTCCTCTGACACTATTTTCAGTGCCTGGAACTCCTAAGTCAGAAAGAAAAAGAAAAACATAGACAGCAATTGATAGACTGTAGGACTGATTCTGCAGACCCACCTTTTCCCAGAAGACCAGCGTGAGTATGGCTGCAGCTCATGGTGTGGAAACTGACGTGCCAGAGGGGGGGCGAGCGAGTGAACAGCTACTGGCAAGAGCTGCCAGCACACTACATTCCTGGATCTACATTTGGAACAAAGCAGAGGCCAAGTAAACCTCCTCCCTATAAGGTCGCTTTACCCAGCCTTGACAAACATAGCGGATGAGGACGTATTTCCCAGTAGAAATCCTGATAGGTTTAAGCACTGTAACATTAATGAGCACTCTGCAAAATCTGGGTCCCAGTTCAAGAAAGAAAAGCCTGTTAAATCCCTTTTCCAACAATGCAAGGGTACACCCATTGTACTTGATTTTATTTCTTCTAAATGATTTTCAGTACGCCTTTAAGGGTAAAGTTATCTACTCACGGTCACACCTTAAGTGTAAAGCACAAATGTTTGCACAATTTTTCTAATGCAGTATGGCTTAACCCCACAGAGTTTCTTTGCTAAATCATTATATTAAAGAGCAGTTCACACCACCATTGCTGCTTATGGCTAGCCATCGTCTTTCCTCCCTGGACTGCATTATGCCCATCTGAAGGGTATTTCACACACTGGCTATGTTTTAGATGCACACCCAAAATGCTTTAAGCGCATACCTAAAAATGGAATGTGTGAAAACAACAGATCTCTGTTTACGAGTACCTACTTCAGAGGCTCCTGTTGAGCACACACCTGGTAGGATCAGAAAGTGTCAAGTGGCCCTCAGGTATTCACCAGAAGCACAAGCTGCAAATCTGAATGTGGTTTGAGATGTCCTGACTCACACATAAGCAAAGCTGCATCAGGCCAGAAAAAGAAGAACCTGCCCATGAGTGAGACTAACCCAAGTGAAATGGTCCTCTGCTTGCAGTTCTCTAATTGCCACTGCACTTCTTCAAGGAAAGAAGGGGCAGCAGGGATGCTGCTGTTTTTCTACTCTTTACCAGAAGGGGAAGGGTAGGAAGAGGCAAAGAGTGCAACCATTCATTGGCTGCCCTTATATTTGGTTCTCTGCTGGCAGCTAGCCATCCAGAGAAGTAACATGCAGAACACACCTGCAGGAAAGAGATGGTATCCGTGCTGGGGACCTTCTCCAGGTTCTGCCTGCATTCATTCAGCAGGGCATGCCTCTCTTCCTTGTTCCGCAGCTCGTCTTCCGCCCCACTCAGCATGGCTCTTTCCCCATCCTCAATGAAGCCAAGGACTTTCTTCTGAAAAGCTGCAAGGCTGCTGGTTGTTTCAGCAAAGAGTTTGGTGACCTTCTCTTTCTCCTTCTGGGCAGTGCCCTAAACACACAGAGCAGGGCACCTATTATATTGTGGTTCCCAAAAACATGAGCAACCCAAGATCCCCAATTTAAAGGCATGGAAGAAAAGTTCAGTTCAAAGTTATGCAAGAAATGTATTTAAGTAGCCACCATTCTAGGTCAAACTAGATGGTACCCATGATGATGAACACACCTGTAGGAAACAGTGTGTTCCTTTTCTCTCCCTCCCCCAGTTGCTTCTTGCACTTAGATTTGCAGCTTCTTTCCTTTGGCAGCTCTAACCATGGGTAGTGTTGTGGCTGTAAAAACCTGAATGCCAGCATGTTATCTTTAAACTGGAGTTTGAAATCAGTTAAGGGAGGAGAAAGGAGTGTTCTTGTAGCTGCAAAAAGGGCAGATGTTATTTTAGGTTACATTAATAGAAGTACCAATTCTAAATCCCATGAAGTACTAGTTCCCCTTAACTCAGCATTGGTTAGGCCTTGTCTGGAGTACAGTGTCTAGTTCTGGGCATCACAGTTTAAGAAAGATGGATACAATCTGGAAAGGGTTCAGAGGAGGGCAACGAGGGTGATCCAGAGACTGGAAGCAAAGCCCTCTGAGGAGAGATTGTGAGAGCTAGGCATGTTTAGTGTTAGGGGAGATATGACAGCACTCCACAAGTATTTGAAAGGCTGTCACAAAGAGGAAGGCCAGGATCTCTTCTCAATCATCCCAGTATGCAGGACATGGATTAACAGGCTCAAGTTACTGGAAGCCAGATTCCAGCTAGGTAACAGGAAAAAGTTTCTGACTGTTAGAGCAGCTTGACAATGGAACCAATTACTTAGCAAGGTTGTGGGCTCTTCCACGCTGGAGGCATTCACAATGGAGCTGGATAGCCATCTGAGAGGGAAGGTTTAACTCAGGGCCCTGCACTGAGCAGGAGACTGGACCCGATTGCCTTCTCACCCCTCCAACTCTACTTTTCTATAGTTCTAGGACAGTGGTGGCGAACCTATGACACGCGTGCCACAGCGGGCACGCAAAGCCCTCAAAGTCGGCACGCAAGCCAAGTCGCCCCAGCATCGCCCCAGGAGCCAAGCATCACATAATAGTGTACACAGGGGCCATGTGCATGCTCAGAAAGGAGCAGTGGTGCCAGGCAATGCTGTCAAAAGCCGCAACTCGTCTGAGCTTTCACATGGCTAGTCAGTGCACTGCCAAGGATATATATAATAGAACTTTCGCTCTCTTTCCAATGGAACTTTAGCCCTAAGTTAGGGTTAGGGGTGTGCACCAGGGCAGGGTTACGGTTCGAAAAAGGAGGTGTCCTGGTAAGATTTTGATGGTTGGAGTGTGTTTAGAAAGGGCAGAAATAGAGCTGTACAGAAAAAGCTACTGAAGGAAGGCTGTTTCAAAATCGTCCTATTTTCAGTGAAACTTTAGCTTTATATTAGGGTCAGAGGGAGTGCACCAGGGTAGGGTTAGGCCAGTGGTGGCGAACCTATGGCACACATGCCACAGCGGGCATGCAGAGCCCTCTCTGTTAGCATGCAGCATCGCCCCAGCAGCCCAGCATTGGATAACAGCGCACATATGAGCCATGCACATGCTTGAAAGGAGTCGCGGCACCAGGCGATGAAGACATGAGCTGCGACTCATTAGCTGCGACTCGTCTGAGCTTTCTCATGGCTGGTCAGTGTGCTGCCAAGGATAGATAGATAGATAGATAGATAGATAGATAGATAGATAGATAGATATATTTGCTTGGACTGCCTGTGAGTTGTTTTTTCTAAACTAAAACCTCAGTGTTCAGGTTTTATTGTAGTGTTGGCACTTGGCGATATATAAGTGGGGTTTGGGTTGCAGTTTGGGCACTTGGTCTCTAAAAGGTTTGCCATCACTGTTATAGGATGTCTTAACTATAGGTCAAAGACTGGGGAATGAACCAAACCAAAATGGTTATTTAAATAATATTTTTCTGTCCTTACTGGATTTCCAAAAGTGAGGCATCTCTGTGCAAAAGAAAAAAATAGCATATCATGCAGAAAGTTACCCTTTAAAATCTCTTTTTCTAGAGGCATCGGATCATACACACAGACAAAACTTTCAACGATGAAACATTTAAAGGTGTGATTCTCCAGCTACATGTAGTCTGAAGTGGTAGAGTCAGGGGAAAACGCTAGGCAATTCTCTTGCCTGTGTGGGCTAGGTTCATGTGAAAATTGTATGTAGGTGTATTCTGGGCTTTCTTTGTCATAGAACACACCGGAACAGCATTCTGGCACCCCTTTTTGATGGGTGTAGCAGGTTCATTAACATAGTGCCTGCGGGCTGGGCTGCTTGTGTGTCGGCGCTGCTTGGAATGCGGCTCAGCTTGGGATCAGTCGTGTGGTCGCACGCTGAGTGCTTACTGCCAGCAGTGACCATTATGTTTGTGTGTGTGTAGAGTGACTGACCCCAAAAGGTGAGTTCCGGCACCTTTTTTTTTTTTTTTAACAAAAAAAGCACTGGGTGTATTTGTTTAGCAGACAGTTCATACAAGGATTCTTTTGTTTGCTTATATGCCCTTTTCAATGCAACACTTCAGTAGAATAAGGTCAGAATAGCGAATGAGCCATCTCTTAGTAGCAAGTCTACAGACAGCCTCCACCTCTTTTTGTCAGCCTAATGCCTTCCAGATGTTTCGCACTACAACTCCCAGTATTCTTGGTCACTGGCCCATGCTGTCTGGCACTAATGCAAGTTGAGCTCCAAAATATCTGGAAGAGACCAGGTTAGAGAAGGCCTACACCCTTAATCCCCTCAGCAACCAGATATACAGAGGGATTCCTGTGGAAATGACAGGACAAGATATGAAGGAATGGTTTGACATTCAGTTTCTCACTCTTTGAATTAAATAAAGATAATGTCATCTTACTTTGATAAGGTCCACCGTCCTCCTCGTCTGTGCAATAGTGACTCCAAGTTCATCCAACTGGTTCGCAACAGTGTTCAGGATTTTGGGTCTTTGGGCCTACCAGTTAAAAAAGGGAGAGGGGAAGAATCAGATTATTCACTTGACTTGCGTTTACAGAAATTTATATTCTACTTTTAATGGCTGGATCAGGCCTAGTGGGAACTGTACACCTTGCCTGTGTCTAAAGATGCAGAGTGTGCCTTTAATCGTTTTTTCCTGAAGAGGCAAATCTCAGGGGACAATTGAATACAGATCAAATGTAGGCCCTTCCTTGATCCCCCAACACCCATATGCAATGTCCACTTATGCTACCTCATTGCCCTTACCACTCATTTTGTCCCCAACAAATTCCAAAAAACTAGAACAAACCCTTCCTCTGATGGTCTACCCTAAACACATGGGAGTTTGTTTGCATTTGGAATCATCATTGTCCTATATTGTGCGTGTCTGTTTTTGCAAAAGCAACGGCCTTCTGTCTAAAGGACCTGTAAGGGAAATCAGTACTTCCTACTTCCCAATTGTTCAACATCTGAATTTTGACTGGAAAAATTCTAAAAGAAGTGAAGTGCTACTGTAATGTGGCACCAAGCTGCATGTGCTGGAGAGAGATAAAGACCAGACTGAGAGGGCTACACTGAAAGGAACAATCATTTTATTATCAGAGAAAGGAACAGCCCAAATCGTATCAACACCGTCAGTTGGACCAGAAAGCAAGGAAATTAGGAGTGCTGTGCACTGAGCTTATCTGGGAAAGTCATGGAAACCCACTGATCTCTTAAAAACAGACCCAGGAAGGAAAGAAAGTAAACTGTAAAGTGTGCCAGATTCTGGTAACAGAGCCGTTCTTTTGCCCTTGAGTGGGGAATAGCTGATCCTCAGCTGATTTAATCAACTCAGTTGATCTGGCCAGGGCGACTTCTTTTATATTTTATATTGTTAATTTTAATTTTATATTGTTATTTTTGTATTTTATTGTATTTTATTGTGTTGTAAGCCGCCCCGAGGCTTCGGCAAGGGGCGGCATAGAAATGCTCTAATAAATAAATAAATAAATAAAATTTAAAAGCTAATTTATATAAAAAGGTACTAACAACATAAAATTGTTTTGTACTAGCATTGCATGGAACTAAAACAAAACAGGTATATGTTAACAAAGAAAACAGTGGTAATGATTGTTTGATATAGAACAACAATCCTGTATCTTTAGAGCAACTCTGGGGCTCTCCAGATGTATCAAACTTCAACTCCCATCAATTTGGTAAATGCTCAGATCTGATGGGCACTATAATCCAGAACATTAGATTTCCTATTCTTAAGGAGCGAGCAGAAGCCAGATGGGTCTCGTGGATAGATTGGCAAGGGCTTCTGCCTCTCAATTCTCTAATAATAGCAGATAAAAAGAAAAAAATTCATTTGCATGAAGACTTGTAAGCTTGGTTCTGAGTATAAATTCCCAGAGTGCACATGCAGTCACAGACACCATGTTCTTCCATTCTTAGCATAGATCCATCTGACTGAGCCACCATTTTGCACCTGGCTCCAGTGGGTGGATCTCCAGTTTTTATTGGACTTGTTCTCAGCCAGCCTGCCCCACCTGGAGCCCTTCAGCTGTGTTGCACTACAATTCTCATCATCCCTAGCCAGCACACCCAATGCCCCTGTTAGCTGGGGAAGACAGAACTGTGGTCAGGAGGGTACCAAGTCTGGAAAGGCAGTTCTGAATCTTCCCAAGTACAGCGATCTCTGATCCAGAGCCAAGAGCAATCTATTTTTGCCACACAGGAAGGCATCATCTCTTCCCTTCCACCAGGAGTGATAACATTTTATTCCTGGGGGAAATTAATTAATAGATGTGTTCCCTTCCATGAATCAGCTACAGGTTGCTCTGGCTCCATAAATGAACTGGGGATGATTTATGGCTGCTTGGCAAGAAGGCAGGACCAAAGTGTAGGACACAAAGGGTTGCTTTCTATCCACACAATGGGCCCATCTGGCCCTGAAGTGTCTGCCCTGGTTGGCAGTGGCCTTCCAGAGTCCCACGCCAAGGTCCTGCTACCCACTTTTCTACAACTGGAGGCATTAAGGTGCTCACTAGATGCCACAGATGTGCATCAGCAAATGCAGCAGAGGTGGGGTGTGATCACTGGCAGTTTGCAAGTGGGCAGTGGAGCCCTGATCCCCTGGGAGCCCCCCTCTTCTGCTCTACATGCTATTTTAGGGGAACCTGTTCTCACCATGAAAGACAGACTAGATTTCATCCCTGCACAGAGCTTATGTATCATGCCAGACAGCACCAGATCATCCCCACTGCAGTTCTAATAAGCACAATGCTCTTCGAGGGGCTTTTTTGGGTTTAACTCTGATACAAAAGGAAAGGCACTTTCAAACATTGTTTTACATTGTGTTAGCACCAGCTGGTGCATTCTTTCACCTCTGAATGCATTCCACTTCCCAAATATCACCTGACTCAGTAGAAAGCTGCTGTCTATGTTCCCTTTTCACCTAGCCATTACAGGAATGCAGGAACAGTATGCCCACACTCCACTGGAGCCCTCCAGCTGCATTGAACTACAATCCCCATCATCCCTAGCCAGATGGGTTAATCCGGTTGATCTCCAGGTCAAGTTGGGAAAGTCTGCTGCCCCAAAGCCTGAAGAGCCACTGCCTGCCAGCATCTTCAATACCGAGCTCGACGGACCAGCGTTCTGATGCAACATGAGGCAGTTTCCTGTGTTCCTGTGGAGTTTCCCAACTCCCCCTGAACTCCAGGATGAGCTAAACTGAAACTGACATCTCTATTAAAAAGGAGTGGGTGAAAATGTGGGAGGTGAGTCAGCGCCATCTGGGAAGGGGAGTGATGGAAACAGCCCCATCGTCAATGGAACACAAAAGGCAAACAGGGCAAGGAACGGAACCTGGGAAAGAAGCCAAATGAAATAAAGGAGCCAGTTTGAGCCACTGTGGGAAAGAGCTACAAGGGGAAGAAATGAGCCCCTGGTGCAATTACACTGAAGGCAAAGCTGTTGGAACAGGAACTGGCTGGGCCCAGTTAACACCAGACGGTATTAATCACACTCCTCCTCCCCAGCCACCCCCCCCGACTTTTGTTTCTGCCTTCTTCCCAAATCCAAATACAACAGATTGTTTACATGTGTGTAATTTTGCAGCCCAGACAGATTATCCACCAAAGTAAAGTTCAGCTAAATGTTTGCCTTTACATTAGAAACATATTTTGGGTGGGTCTGGAATACAGTTGCATCCATCCACGCACCCACCCCTTTTGCTGGATAGCATGCTAGGGGTTGGTTAAACACGGGACAGCAACAGAAACTTGTGCAGACACCTTCTTTCAGATCTTTGTATAGTTCTCATTCAGTCAAATCTCAGTTCCCAACACTTCAGAAATTATAGAAGGCAGCAATGTCCACAGGAATTGTTCTTCACCAAGCAATTCTCCACACTCCATCACCTGTCTTCCAGCCATTTCTGGGTCTCTGGAGTGTGGATTTTGACCCCAAATGAGGTAGTACCTCAGACCCATTCCAAATATCCTCCTCTCAGATCCATGCCTCACACTTGTTTCTCCTGCTGTCTCTATGCGAAACCCACCTGTCCATCCCCACAAGCCAAAAATGACTAGTTGAAGAGCTGGCCTTTGTACAGTGGTACCTTGGCTCACAAACTTAATCCATTCCAGGACTCTGGTCGTGACCCAAATTGGTCATGAGCCAAGTTAAATTTCCCCATAAGGTTCAATGTAAATAAAGTTAATCCATTCTGTAACCATTTTTTAAATCAGAAAAATGTGAAGCAAAGTGACAGAACAACAAAGATCACAGCCACCCCCCTCCGAGCAGGAGCGCGGCCATCTCCCCACCCCCCACAGCATGACTACGATTGTGCCCGTCATCCCGGCACACTGCGGGGGGGGGGGGGAAGATGGGCGTGAAAGCAGGTGCGCTGGGGGGCAAAGAGAAGGGCGGGAACATAGGCACGCTGGGTGGGGGGAGAGACAGGCGCGAATGGGGGCGCACTGGGGGGTGAAGAGAAGGGCGGGAATGCGGGCATGCTGGGTGTGGGGAGAGACAGGTGGGAACACGGGCGCGCTAGGGGTGTTGGCCGAGATTGCAGTTGTGCTCATGCAGGAAAGCTCGGTGCAATCATGGGCATGATCTCGGCCATCTCCCCACTCGGGGGGGGGGGGCGCGGGAGATGGCTGCGATCGCCACCCAATGCGGAGTTTGCGACCTGAGTCAAAATGTTTATGAAATTTTTGTTTGCGACCCAATTTGGTTGTGAACTGAGGCGTTCGTGAGCCAAGGTACCACTGTATATATTCCCAGAATATAGTCTCAGAGAAACAGGTATCCTATATACATTTCCAGAGCTACTCTCAAGGCTGATATAATGTATGTGCACAGCATGCATCACTTGATAGTGCAATATTCAGTGACTTGTAGCTAAACATGAAAACTGTCTCGACTGAAAGTTATATTCTCTGAGAAGATATCAAGAGACAAGTACAGCTCCAATTCTAGTGCTACCCTTACTAGGGGGCTTAGCTGCACCACGGCTTTTGAGGTGCGCTAGACTTCCCATTCTGTCCCTTAAGTCTGGTTAGCAAGCACTTAGCATCTGTAAGCACACTCAAAAATGTTGTTTATACTTGCTGATTCTTATTTTTTATCCCTCTTTTTTGACAGAAAAAAACCCATAAATACAATTACAATTATAATAATATAACACAACAAGAACACAATAATTAAAAAAGAATAAAAAGAATAAAAAAGAATAAATGAAGGAGTGCACCCACCACCCCAGAGACCAATACTACCATCATACACATGTAATATATAATATTCTTCAATTATACCCATATCCCCTCCAGAAATTCATATAATCTTTATTGGGTTTACAGCCTCTGCCTTCTATTAGTACTGCTTTTACAAAATCTTCCCAAATTTCATTATATTCATTTGCTTTCATTAACCCTTTTTAAATTGTTATTTCTGTCATCAGTTTATCATTAATTATATTCCATATTCTTGCTGACCCTTATCTTAAGGAGTAACCCTTGTGATAGATACAAAACATGGGAAATGTGGAACTTGCAAGTTTCCCTGATTATTGAGATACTATTAAATTTAGCTGCCCAATATTCTGAATTGGCCAATCAGAATCCTGATGGGATATTAGCAGTCATTAACAACCATTAAGGATTGGGATCTCACAATGTAGAATCTTCTACATCATTGTGAAAATGGAATGCCATATGCACCTGTGAAAAAGGCCCAGCTCAGCTTAGTTACCTATTCAAGTCAATCTTGCTCCTCACACCAAAAATCACAGCCACCTGGGAACCCCAAGTTCATCTCAAGTTCAGTCCAAGAGGGAACAAGAAGACCCATCACTTGACTTTTTCTAAGCAAGGCAAGTCAAAGATGAGTCTTAATATGAGAGGATCAAACAACAACACCTCTATGTTTAGCTCCATTAGGAAGGCTCACTTTTTGACTTGCTTTACTGCTCCATCCTGCTTCAATAGAAACAATCTGCAGCTGTTTTGTTCCCAAGAGAATGATGGCTGTGATGCAGGCAGACATGACTAATTATCACTTATGAGTATATCTGTATCAGTCATGATGGATCTATATTGCCTCCATTATCAAAGTACTTTATTACAGATTTTGCAATAAAGCATACATTAATTTGTTCAGACCTTGTCTGTGTTCAGTAGCTAATATTCCCCTAGTTTAAATATGGATTGCTATTTACATGTGGTGGATCTACACTTGCATCTTGGGTGTAACAAAGGACATGTGGCAACAGGTACACAAATTCATCCACTTTTCCTCCCAACAGTTTTTTACTGAACTGATTTTGCACAGCATTTTGAGCCACACCTAGGAAAAGGTGAGAGCTCCTAGCTAGCATCTTGATCAGAAATTATTCAATGGTACATAATACAGTAGACACCTGTTGGGCACTTTCCAGGATGATTAATCCTTTCCATGCTGAGTCAGTTTTAGGAATGTCTGTGGATTAAAGACAAATGCTTATCTACATAAACACATTCACAGCTCAATGCATGTCTATTCAAAAGTTATCTCTAACCGAATTCAATGAAACTTCCTTCCAGTTAAATATTCACTATAGCCTTAAAAACCTTTAAAAAATTAAGAATAGATGCAATGTTCCTAGTAGGGATAACAGTGACTAGACCAAAACCTGCTTGCATTTTGGTTTGTCAACTGAATGACTTCATTTACTTGCCTAGTTTAGAAAACAAAACCTAATAATCTTTATTCCCCCTCCTTTACTATACTGGTGTGATTATTTAGCTACCAGTGCTGGATCAGGGCTAGTACAGTGACATGATAATGTGGGGGGAATCATCCAACAGTGATACCACAGCCTCTTCCCCCTCCCCCCACAAATATTGTGTATTCCTCTAACCTAATAGTCTGTATAAAACATCTTCCCACACACCCCTGCATTCCTGCTGTCATTCCACTGCTCCTCCATGGCAGCCTTCCTCAACCTGCTGCCTTCCCAGTGTGATAGACTACCACTCAGGGGGATCATATGCCTGGTCAGACAGCCAGGCTAAAGAGGACATTCACCTGTAGTCAACCTGAAATGCTACCCAGGTGGTTCAAAGAATGCACTTACCTGCACCCTGCTCCAAACCCCCAACCCAACCTTACAGTTTCTTTAGCAATGCCATTCCAGTTATGGTTGTGCCAGAAGCCACCCTGAACCACTTCAGCCCAGGCCTTCTCTTTCCCCACCATACTGCCCCATAAACAATTTTTCTACTGCATTACTCTCATTTTCCAACTCAGATTATATTTCCCAATATATTTCTGCAAGGTGCCACTTAACCCTGCTCTGAAGCTGTCATTCTTCATATGAAGCTGCCAGACCTCTGATTCCTCTAGTCCAGTGTTAGCTACTGCATAAAGCAGGGGGTGGTTGCCTCACCCCTGCTGAATCTACTTTTTTTTTTTACTAGAACACCCAGTTCCACCAACAAGAGCCTAGCAAAAAAGCACATGAAGAAAATTAATCAGAGGGTGCTGCTGAGCATCTTCTGAACCTAAGGATTTGTTGTTATGACTATTTTCAAAATGGGAGTTTGAAACTGAGAGCCAGTGAGGTCTAGAGGTTAGTGCATGGGACAGGACCTTGGGAAATACAGGTTCTTATGCCCCTCTCCCCAGGGCCATTAAGTTGCACATCACAACAGCAAAGCATGGGAGAATAACAGAGCTGTTGTGAGGATAAACTAGAAAGGAGGAGGACCACGTATGCTAGGTACCTCCAGTTTTTGCAGGAGGGCAAAAGGCAGGATGTAAAAACTGTTTCAAAATCCTTGCTATCTATTGCAAATCACTCAGAGGTCTTCCAGCGGAACCCAGTCTACCTTCTTCCAACCCCTGGAACTCCAGGGTCTCAGGCAGCACTTCTTCCCAACCAGCAGAGATGCCAGGGGGGACAGCCTAGTACCTTCTGCCTTCAAGGTTTGCACTGTCAGACAACTGTGGCTCCTTGCTGGGTTTTTGTCTTTCTCTCCCCTCTTTCTCAGCACTTCAGATCTGGCAATCTCCAGGCCCTGTCTCCCTTTGCTCCTAAAATCAAGACTGCCTGCTTCCCTTAGTTAGGCTTAGAATCAGCATGCATGAACTCAAATATTTGTGAGCACTTCTCCCAGTTTAACAAACTTTACAACAGGCAGGAAAGACCAACAACCACATCACAATAGCAGCATTACAGAGCAGGGAGTGCCCCCCTTGCTGTTTTCCAGATATAAATAGTAGCAACCCACTCTAACCTCCCCCAAAACATTTGACATTAAGAAAAAAAGGGGGAAAGGTATGAATAAACCCCACTACCTAAATGTTCACCGCCATCCCATACACACTTACTACTGAGAAGAACATGGGGGGGGGGGGGTCACTGGCTGCTGCTACAATCAACTTTGGAGCCACAGCCACCTGTTTGAATGTTAGAAAGATACTATTCGGGGAATTAACTATGGATCTTGCAAGCTCTGCCAAGCTGCTCTCACTCCTGTTCATTTCCAGTTCCTGGCACATGATCCTCAGTCTAGGCAAGGGGGATCATGTGCCCTCCCCAGCAGTTTATTTTTGATTCCATCAGAATATAAGATGCCTCTGCTTCTCCCTTTCCTTTGCTTCTTGTAATTTCCCCACCCAGGCTCTGCCCATCTTGCTGACCCTCCTCCGCCCCGAAAACTCACCAGGATTTCGCTAGCAAACCTGTTCTCTGCATCAGGGATTCTCAGCTATTACGTACAAGACATAATGCCCCACTCATCCCAGAACGAAAGTGAGAGCAAGACTGCAGGGTCTGACCTTTGTCAGCATGATTTTGGGTCAACGCTCAGCCACAGAACTTGGTTCGCAGCAAAAGTAGAATGTGCTTCTGAACATGAATGGAGAGCATTCTACTACGTCTTTTAACTTTAATTGAAATATAAGGGAAAGGCTTCCAAGTCCAACTGCACAATTACCAGATCGATCTGAGCTCTCTTTTTAGAAAATTAAGCTCCAAAGTGTGCCGCTGAGCACGTTTCCTCCTCTCTGGTTAACCATGTCCACACCTCTAAAGCTGAAAAGAGGGAGCCTAATAAGCAGGTTCCAACCATTTAAACCCCATTCGAAGTTGTAACCGATGCCAGTCAAACTGCAGTCCTGCTCATGTCAATGGGTCTACTCTAAAAAAAGTCTGGCAACCCCTCCGTGATCCCCTCCAGTTGCAGTCACATAGCTCGGCCCCTCATCTTCAGCCAGCAGCTTTCAAACGGCGGAGCTGCAAACTAAGACGTTCGCAAATTCGACACGCTGCAATTTGCACCAAGTCCCTCTCTAAGCTATTTTGCAGCTGAAGCCCAGCGAGGGAAACGCCTGCCGGTCGGCCACCGCGCCCCTGGAACAAGGCTGCACAAGGGCCGCCTTTGTGCATCGACGGATACCTCGGACTATAGCTGCTGCTGCTGCTACCCACCTCCACGTGCTCCCGCTCCACTTCCACCGCCACCACTTCGTGGCTCCGGTGCTCCTGGACCCGGCACAGTTGGCAGATGCAGCTGCGGTCGGTGCGGCAGAAGCTCTCCAGGGGCTTGAGGTGCAGCTTGCAAAGGCTTTCCTCGATGTGCCGCAAGGGCGGCACCAGCCGGTGCCCTTGGAAAGCGGGGCTTTTGAGATGCGGCTGCAGGTGCGGGGAGCAGAAGGAAGCCAGGCACACCAGGCATGACTGCGCCGCCTCGGCGCGCTCGCCATCGGTGCAGAAGTCGCAAAGCACCGGCTCCTCCTGCTTCTCCCGCTGGCGGCAGTCGGCAGCGTCCTCGGGGTGGGAAGCGTCTGCGCCGGGAGCGCACGGCTTCTGGGGGGACATGGCCAGCCCCGCCGCTGAGCTGCTTGGGGAGGGCTGCCGGAGCTGCAACAGCTCGGCCAGGGTGTGGTTCTTACGGAGCTGGAGATCGGCCGGGAAAGGCTCCTGGCACAGAGGGCACCGGGAAGTCCCCGGCTGCCCCCCGGCTCCGGCGACGCCCCCCGGGTGGTGCCTGTGCGCTCCGATGCAGCTCAGGCAAAAGTTGTGGCCGCACGGGATGGTGGCCGGGTCCTTGAGGGCGTCGAGGCAGATGGGGCAGCTGAAGAGGCCTTCCTGCAGGAGATTGGAAACGGGGCTGATGGGGCCGGAGCCCCTGTCCATGCTGCTGCGGTCGGCCCGAGAAGCGAAGAGCGCGCGCCTGCGCCTGGTCCCTTTCCCAGATCCCGGCAGGGGCGGGAGCGGGAGCGCCGGCCCCGCCCATCCGGGATTCCTGTCAATAGGGCAGCTCCGGCCAGCCCCGGAGGCGAGCAAGTGGCCTTGCGAGTAAGTGGAGCAGGTCCCTCCTCCGTCGGAGGTCCCCCTTTCCCGCCACCGTCCCAGGAATGAGGAAGAAGGAAGGCGACATCCTGTGGGGGAGGCGCGCTCGCCCCCTCAGCCCGCCACCAGCCAGGAGCCGCCCAATCCAGCGAGAACGCACAGGCGGCCGGTTCCAAGGCAGGAGGCGATGCTCCTGCCCGCCAAAAGAGAGACGGCGCCCTTTACTCCTCCCTGGATTTCAGTGGGAATGATTGTGTGGTGTCTGGGCTGTATCCAGAGTGAATCCTTGCTACGGACGACCCACTGAAATGAATGGAATTGAAGTAACATTGGGTGCTGTTGAAAGAAAAAGGGTGCTGCGGATACTAGGATAGCCAGATGCCCTACTTTACAGAATGCAGCCCTCTCTGAAGGTTCTTAAGGGGAAGTAGGGGACCTGAAGTTACCCGTCATCATCTGGGCTGCAGACTGAGAAGTGGCCACAATCTTCTCTGCTAGCAGAAAAAATGTCCTGTATTCTTTAAATGCTAGTAATTACTTCGAAATGTGCGCAATTTTTGTGCAACTACCTTTCTCCTACTTGCAATGTTTAAAGGATTTCTGTCAGCCTGTGTCTTACGGATTTTTATTTCATAGCAGAATGTGTAGCTCAGCCAGTGCCCTGTATCCCCAGTATCTCAACCATTGGGTGCACAGGGGAATTGTAGTCAGAAACATCCGTAAGGCACCAAGTTGGGGAGGTCTGGCATGTCTGATTGTTTTGCAGTGCTGTGACCATTTCACAGCAACTCATTGTCCTTTTATTGTGACTCACATACACTGTATGATTGTAATTAGTTTTTCTCCGAATAAAGCCCCAGTGAGTTTAATGGACTTCTTCCCCAGGAAATTTAAGCAAGCTGGCAGCCTTAACTGTTGTGGAGCTTCAGCTAACTCTGCAACCCTCACTCAGCCAACACCCTCTAGTGTCCATCACTGAAAAGCAAACCATGAACAGTTTGCAGTTGAGCTCGGTGGGTCCCACAACAACCTGTGCATCCTGTTGCCAAGCCAATGCCTCTCCTCTGGTCCATTTGCCATCAGAGATCCTACCAGCTGCACTTTTCTGTTTCATGCCTCTTTCTCCCTCAACCCTGTATTGCTAGCTGTATTGAAGAAAAAAGCAGCATATGGGTGTCCTACTTTAGGAAACAGAAAACAGCAGCCTGTATGAGCAAACTGCACTAAAACATGGGCTCACCTGACATCTGTTCGAAAGCTTCCTGACATGCCAGGACAGTAGCAACTGCTCAGGTGAAGTTTTATTTTCCAAATAAACCCCTTCATGTGTGAACTAAAAAGCACAATCACCTTCACACCAGCTAGTTCAGACGGCGCCCAATACTCTAGGTCAGCTTTCCCAATCTGGCCCTCCTGATGTTTTGGATTACACAACTGTTGAGAGTCCTGATTCTTGGCCATTTTGGCTAGGGCGGATGGTAACTGAACTCCAAAACAACTGAAGGACACCAAATTGGAGAAGGCCGTTCCAGGCAGTACTTGCCAAGATGATGATGCCTGCATCTCTAAGTTTAAAAAGGACATAAAACCAGATAAATTTTGCTTTAAAATATCCTTACCATCTCCCCACCCTTCATTTTCTAGAATTAGTTTTAATTTCATTTCAAAAACATCACAGTACTTTCTATACATCATAGCTGCTCCTCACATTTCTACCATGATCACAAGGCCACTCTTCTGAGAAACCAGCTTAAGGAAGTCCCATGGGATCTGGAACATTAGCCAGGTCACAGGCCGAAGAGGAAGTGAAATCAAAGAAGCGTTGTGAGAAAGCAAACTTGGTACAAACAGAGAAACAAATCTGAATTAACTTTGCAACTTTAATTTCCCTCTCAAATGCTTCAATGAGAAAAGGGTGACATAAAGAAGAATTTGCAGTGCCTGCCTTACATGATATCTGCATAGAAAAGATAAAAATTTAGATTCCTCCCCACACACACAAATTCACACATACACAAGAGAAAGAGAGAGCATGCACATGTGGAGAGATGCACAAAAGGTGGGAAACCCACCAAATTATTTGTGGCTGGAAAGGTGGGGGAGTGTCTGTCCAGGGACTCCAGGCCTGAGTTTCTGCACTCCTGGCATGACAGCCAGAAATACATTTTCTGTTTTCCACTTGCATTGTTTCACTCAGATTTGTTCCTCATAATTTTTCCAGTGTGACAGCAGCTGCCTGCAAGTCAGGAGACCTCCCGTCTGCTGTAATAACTTGGTCCTGTGGCTTTTGGCAAAGAGTCACAGTTACACCTTCACAAAGCCAGAAGATTGGTATCACAGGCTCTGTGAAGACTGTGTGAAAAGTGTGGAGAAGCTTCATATTGTCCTCCAAGCCATAATAGGACAGGACTCCTTGGTCATAGTCCAACAGCACACCAATGAATTGGCACAAGCGCTCTTTTATCTTTGTGGACTTGCCATCATACCAAGCCACGTAACAATCTCCTTGGATATGCAGGCCCCAGGAGAGCTTATCCAGCCCAATGGTAAATGGAGGACGAGCCCATTTCTTCCTCGCAATCCTTTTGCAAGCTATGCCAACTATGGCTGAGTTGCCAGATAACTTGACTTCCCAATAGCTCCTGCCTTGGTTGAAGTTCTGGAGGCACATGACCTGCCACGGCTCAAACCTTTCTGGGTCATTTGGTTTCATGCTGTGAAAGCCTTGAGAGTGGGTAGCTTTCCGGTCATGATCAAAAAATTGCAGATACTTGTTAGCTGTAGTTGGATCAAAAGTCAAATTTTGCTGATCTGTGGAAGTAACAAGAGTATCGGATTGGTTAAAAAGAAAGCAAATAGCTGGTGGCTGACTCATTACTCATTCTCCATGGGATGAATTCCATGCAGCAGGAGTGGCAGCTCAGAATGATATTGAGGTATAGGCTGTTGGTCTCTTCCTCTTTGTGGGAAGAGCCTCCATCTCGCCTAGCTCAGCAGAGAAGATGGACAAAGGACAGCCTCATAATAGCAGCACCAGTTGCTGAGCAGATGTTTGCTATCAGAGACCAAGGCCTGCAGAGACCTAACTAGCTTCCCTGCCAGCTATATGTAGTACCTGTGGGAAAATGCCCTCCCTCCCTCTAACCCTACTTACCAGCAGGTTGCCTAGCTACAGCTAGACCTGCCAGGATGAGAAACTTCTGTTTTTGCTAGATACAGATTTCAAATCTGGCCAGAATTTTCCTCAGAAGCAAAAATGACAACACTGAGGTTGTCATACTCTGGACACATGATAAGAAGGCAAGACTCACTTGAGAAGAAAGTCAAGGGAAACTCAATGGCAGAAGAAGAACATGAAGAACTATGAGATGGATCAACTCTATAAAGGAAGCCACAGTCTTGAACAGGTAAGGACATTTTGGAGGGCCTTCATTTATAGGGTTGCCATAAGTCAGAGACAATTTGATGGCACATAACAAGGTTGCAGGGCTTTGTGCCACTGGCAGCAATTGGATCGTAACCGTGTGCTTGCTTCAACCCACTCCTTATTCGGACATCTCGGTTTTGCTGAGCATCCATTCCAGCTAATAGGGATCTTGCTGACTGATTACTGATTGAGAACATGCAAGTATTTTAAGTTCTTCTATTTGCTCAGGAAAATCCTTGTAAGCAAACCTAGTCCCAATGTATTCTTTTCCTCAGAATTCCAAAAAGCCATGAGCCCACTGCAGGGACATAACATGAGGTTTAGTCTTAGCCTCTATTTATCTATCTATTATATTTATATCCTGCCTTTTTCTCTTAAGAATGCAAAGTGGCTTACATCATTCTCCTCATTCTGCTCTCAATCTTACCCACAACCACCCTGTAAAGTAGGATGGGCTGAGAGTCTGTGACTGGCCCAAAGTCACCCAGTTGGCTGTCAGCCATTGATGGCTTCCTTCTCCAGGAATTTGGCCAGTCCCCTTTCACAGCCATCCCAATTGGTAGACTCCACTACATCTTGTGAAAGGAAACCGCAGAGTATAACTAGGTTCTATGTGAGCAAGCAGAATACTGTGTCCACGGGGCTGTGGCTCACGAAATCAGAGCTGCCATCCACATGCATGAAGCAAGCTCAGAAGGCTACACCATGCCCTACATACTGGAAATTATTTTCCTCATCACTGGGCTGCTATTGCAGGTTATTGTACTTTCTGTGGTGTGTTTCCGTTATACAGGGCTTTTGCTCCCCTCTCAGCACTGAGACAGAGTCAGGGTATTACGTCTGGTCAGCAGCTGATCAAATACAATACGGTCTTCCTGGAAAGCAGAGCCTAGAAAAGCAGCTGGCTGGCTGAATGCAGAATCCCCACAGGCTAGAAATTCCCTGCACTCAGTTAAAGGGCAACAGGGAGAATCTAGACTTGGTAGACGCTCTCTCCTGCAGACTGGGTCAGCTGTGGGTTTCACTGAAGTTGCACTCTGGTATTTTTCCAGCGTTTTACCTTTCCCAAAAAAGCTAAATACATCAGAGTATCATCTATTCTTCCGACCTTGTGAGGCGGCATCTGGAAAGATTAACACGTTGGCATTGCAGGAGAGACAACCAACAAAATAGGGAGAAAGCTTCACAGCAGATTTGTGAAAGGTTGGGAACCGGCTTCAGTGGGTGCCTTCCATTCCTTTGGAGTGAAGCCATGAGAGCAACAGATCTTGCTTTGTAGAATAGCACTTTTAGTTGCATAGCTCACAACTGCAGTCTTGTGCCATATAGATTAGACCGTGTACCTGTCATTGCAAACAGCTCAGCATTCCTTTGATCAGCTTTCTGCCTTAATGAGGTAGTTATTTCTCTCAGCGATACAAACCAGAAGGCCAAGCAGGGAAACACACACGAGTAGTATATATAAACAAGACTGAAACAGACAAGCTACTGAAGACAGATTGTTATAATCAAAACTACATCCTTCCCCTTTTGATCTTGCTCTGTCTTTGTTAGAGACAAATAGGAGCTGCTCCATTTACTTTAAAGGAAAAAAGAGTGGCCTTTATGAATTAAGTGCATATTTACTCAACAACTTCCTGCTTTCATGCCCAGGAAATCACCTTCAAAAGGTCAGAAACCTTTTTTTAAAAAATTCAAACCAGGGAATGTGGCACCCATCAGCTCCAGTCAGGCATTAGGTAATCAGGGGTAGTGAATGCGTGCAGTAAAGTAAATATAATTTGGACAGATATACCATAAAAGTATATCCTTCATCTACAAGACATAGAGAATATTAAAGTTCAACTCAGCCTGTACAAAATGACATAGAAAGGAAAAACTGCCATCCGTTATTGTTGTGTTCCATGAACAGGAATATGGCAAAAAACGGAGAATCTTGATTTTAAAAACCAAGAGAATAAGCTGAATGCAACCGCTTGCAATCAAATATGAAAAGCATGCGACAATGTCTCCAACTCTAGCATGTTCCTATAAGCCCATGCAGATTTTGTACATGTAGTCAGTGCCCTGTATCCAGAAGATACATTCACAGAGCTGTCCCTACTCTGAAGTGATTCCAGGGTTGGGTGGGACAAAAGCTAAAGGGCCGAGACCCAGGGCAAAAGGGTGAGACCAAAACCCCAGCCTAGTGTAGCTTAAATTGCTTACTACCAGTAACTAAGCATTAGAAGAGGTATTTCAACCTTTTGGAGCTTCACAGAAGCCAGGAAACTCACCAAACAATAGCTAATTTGGGGAAGGGGTGGGTCAGAAGAGACGTGTGGCCCTCTGAGAAACAGCAGGACTGAATTTGGCCTTCAGTCCTGAGGTTCTGCACCACTTGATTCGGGGTGCTTATCAGGACTGCTGTCTTTAAATCAAGCATTCCACTGTCTCATGACCAAGGCTCGATTATTAAAATGCTGCAAGATTATTGGAAATAACATTTCCTTATCTGGGTTGCTGTTTTATCACCGCACAATCTCTAGCTCCATAACATACCTGAAAACGAGAGTGGCAAAGGAACTTCCAAACTGGTTTATTTGCAGGGGGAACAAGGGAGATCAAGTAAAACCAGCAGCCCACCCTGAATTCCCTTGCAATGGGATCTAAGAAAATAAGTCCAGGGATTCACTAGTTTGTCTGCTTGCCTTCTACAGCTCTTTCCATCCTTCTTGCAGCTCAAAGTGCCTTTTGAAACCCCTGCCTTGAGAGGCATCCTTTTGGCCCTTTTAAAATATCCCACACACACCAAAAATCTTGAATCCTGTTCATTCTAAAATGCTCTATTCAAAGGAGGTTGTACAGATTATCCCAGCTAGCATACACATAATTCTATTTCATTGTAGATAGCAGAACTGATGTTCTTAATACAGAATTTGAATATTTTGGGGACCAAGGATCTGAATTGCTTTGGTTTTCCCGTTTACTACATTCCAGTTCGACTGAAATACCAGAAAGGTAGAATGTGTGTCTTTTTAGATAAAGGAAGGGTGTGTCAGAAAGTCAGTAATATTGAAATAATTTCGATCTAACTTGTTCATAACATTTGCATCCCATACTAGGCCCAGGACAATTCAGACTAAATTCCGGATTGTCTCCCCTCTGGTAGGTTTCATGACCAGCTGCTCAACAGCATAGTCATTTAGGACATTGATAAATTTAACTTCTCTGTAAGAGCTGGAACATACATTTATCCAGTCAATGTGTGGGTAAGCTGAAGTCACCCATTATTACAGCACTGCCTTTTTTGGGGGGCCTCTCTGATTTCATTCTCCATCTGATTTCATTCTCCATCTGAAGCATTCTGTTCTGGGGGACAACCGCATATTCCAATGATTAATGTAGTTTTGGAGCCCGGAATTGTCACCCATATGGCTTCTGTTGAAGAGTCTATGCATCTTAGATTATCAAGTATGCTGGATTTTATGCCCTCGTTGATGTACAGTGCTGTACCTTCCCCAGGAAGTCCTTCCTGTTCAGAGATGACTGTGACCCACTGGCCCCCTCCATTCCACCAGGTTTCCATAAGCCCATTTTATCTAGCTTCTCCTTTAAAACTAGGCACTTGAGCCTCCCATTTTGGGTTTGCAGCTTCTAGCATTTTCATGGAAACAACTAAATACAGCATCTTATTCTCTCAACAGCAACCCTGAGAATTAGGTTGGGCTGAGAGTCTGTGATTGGCCCAGAGTCAGCCAGTGAGCTACATGGTTGGGTGGGAACTAGAACCCAAGTCCTGCACTCTTCACCACTGCGCCATACTGGCTCTCTTCCACTAGTTAGGTCTGCACAGTGGCTTTTGACAGTACAGAGCTGTGCACTGCTTTTCTTTCCAAGCCCGGGTTTAGTTTCAGTATGGGCTTCCTGCTTGAACAAGGCTGCAGGAGCCATAGGTTGACCTGGGATTCAGCTCCCAATTGGGGGTTGCTGTTGCTTTTCTCCACATTTGTAACCCTTGCCTGAGTTTAACTATGGATTTAGTTTAAATATGGATTCCTTGCCTAAGCATGTGTCCCATACCTGAATGGAGGCTCTGTGACTCCTTTTCTTTAAAGAGTGGGCAGCTGTCGTGAGGCTGTAACTCACGTCTCCAATTAACTCACACAGCAGCTGGCCATAAAACTAAAGACTTTTATTGCTACTTTCTACAAGATTTACAATGCAACAGATAGGAGAGCTTCTTGCAACACAGTTGCCCCCTCCTTTCTGAAGTTTCTGTGAAGCCCACGTGGGATTAGATTTTCCTGTCACATCTTTCCGTTCGTGGGTGGGACAAACCTCTGTCCTGTCATCTCAATTGGTCCAGACGTAACTGATCTAGATGCCTTAAACTCCACCTAAG